TGGGCCAGGAGGGGCACAGGCAGCTGCCCTTCTTCCCTGCTACTCCTGCCGCTGCTGTGTGCGAGCAGTGACCACGATAGCCACAGGTGATGAGGAAGTTGGTAAAGAATAATTCGAGCCAAGGAATAAATCCATGAAAAAAAATGTTCAGTGTCTCTGGCTGATAGAGAAACACAAATTAAAATAACACAGAGATTCCGTCTTATTCTACAAAGAATGGTCAGCATTAAGAAATCAGGTAACGGGGGCTGGGGATTTAGCTCAGCGGCATAAGCGCCTGCCTTGCAAGCAGGCAGTCGTGAGAGTTCAACCCCTGGTACCGATGAAACGGAAAAAGACAAAAAAAAAGAAATCAGGTACCAAAAAATGCTGGTGAGGCTAAAAAGTGTGTGTGGAGAGAACCCTTCGATATCTGGAGGCTGAGGCAGGAGGATTGCAAGTTCAAACCGACCCCGGGAAACTGAGCAATACAGTGACTCAGTTTCAACATAAAACATAAGCTGGGCATAGTGGTATACACCTGTGAGCTCAGCACTCAGGAGGCTGAGGCAGGAGGATTGCCACACGTTCAAGGCCAGCCTGGGCTACGTAGTAAGATCAAGACGAGCTAAACTACATTTGAAACCCTGTCTCAAAAATTAAACCAAAATAAACCAAACAAATGTATATATAAAAGGGCCAGAGATGTGGTTTAGTGCCCTGAGTTCAATCCCTAGTACTGACAAAAGGGAAAAAAAAGAAAAGAAAAAAAATTATTTGGGGCTTTAGCTCTGTGGCAAATGTTTGCCTAACATGTACCAGGTCCTGGGTGCTATTTCTAGAACTACAAGAAAAACAGCAACAACAACAAAACTATTCCATGACACTGGTTATGGCCTAGGGGACAATCAGGTGGGGAGCTGGACCAGAACTGGGGCAATCAGATACCCAGGATGGGTGCCGTTTGGCCTAGTCCTGCCACACTGACCAGGGGGGCTCTTTGCTGACACTGCATTTTATGAGGAAGTTCACAGATGGGCCTAGAAGAAGGCCCAGAAGCCTGACTAAAGCTTGGTCAAGCAGAGACCATGTAGGCCTCACTGCTGCCAAGGTGGCTGCCAGTGTATGGCACCCTCCTCAGGGCCTGCTGTACCCTCTTCACACAGAGGCTTACTCCGGATTTGGGTTTTCTTCACTCATTTGGGTTTCTGCCAGTACTACCCTTCAGGAGGCCATTAAATCATAAGCTTGGGGCTGGGGGTTTAGCTTAGCAGCCTAAGCACCTGCCTGGCAAGCATGAGGTCATGAGTTCAATCCCTGGCACCGAAAACCCCAAAATATCATAAACTACTACGATAGATTGTTCAATATTGCTTTTCTTCCTCCCTGTGTCTCTGTTCCTCCACCTCTGTGCTGTGGATGGATCTGAGGCTTTGCTCATGTGAGGCAAGTTCTCTAACACTGCTACACCCACACAGCTGTGTTTTTCTTTGAAACAGTTCGCGTTATATAGGCCAGGCTGGTCTCAAACTTGAGGCACTTCTCCTGCCTCAGCCTCCTGGGTACTGGGATTACAGATGTTTGCCACAATGCTATTAATAAGTCCTAGAATTATTTTTTCTTTAATGTGTTAAAATAATTTAGAAGGTAGGCATGGCACACACCTATGATCTCAGTGTTTGGGAAACTGATGCGTGAGAATTGCTGTGAGTTCAAGGTCAGCCTGGGCTACACAGTGAGACCTGTCTCAAAAATTTTAAAAAATTTCCCTGTACATCTCTGTCCATGCAAGAAACCAAGATACACACTTAACAATATTTTCCTGGTTTGAGATATTCAAATCATTTCATATGGCAAAAGTAGGATTCAGTCATTTATGAACTGTTTTCACTTTGGAATTTGTTTTACTTGTTTTTTGTGTTTTTGACACAGTATCTCACTATGTAGCCCAGGCTGGCCTCAAACCCTCTACAAGCCTCTTGCTTCAGTCCCCAGAGTGAATACATCTCAGATCGCTGAAGTTTTAACCCTTTAGAGGATGTCAGTTAAGTTTTTGGTTTCAAAATCTGGACACAGTACGAAAAAAAACCCATATTGACAGAATTTCTTTTTTTTTTTTTTAATTTAAAGAGAAAGAAACAAAAAAATACATGGAGATAAAAAAGGGTAGAAATAATACAGAATTACAGAAAAATAAATGGTAAGAAATCTCCAGTTGATAAATTACATATTGTCATCTTAGAAATAGCTGTTCAAGTTACAATATTAAAGTATGTAAAATGACATTCAAATAGGGACACTTGCCAACAGTTCTGTTCAGTGATCTAACAAAATCTCAGTAATATGATTATCAGTCCTACATACTTGTTTTATATCTTAAAGAGGTAATATCAAAACAGAACAAAACAGTTAAAAAAAAAAAAACACTTCCAAGAAATACAGATTTCAAAGTAAGTCCACTGGAGATCTTCACTGTCTATCTAATTGTCTCTAGTTTCTTCCAAATAGTTGTCCCCATCTTCACCCACATTATATACATATTGCATATTATAGAACTAATCAAATCATTACAGGATGATGAAGGCTTTTTAGGTCTTCAAGATCTGACACTGAGGAAGACAATAATAACTACCATCGCATTTCTCAATCTCTTCATAGTAGCTGTCCTTATCTTTACATATGCTGATATTGAACATAAGAGACTAGACTAATATCACTCTGATCAGTGAATAATATAGTATTGCTAGATTTTATATCATAATGCTATAGAATTAGCATTGGGTTTCTTAGTGTCTCTTCTTCAGAGTATCTGTTCATTACATCTTGCATTATATAATCTGTTCGACAGAATTTCTATCCATCTTTACATTTCTTTTTCTTGCTTTGGTTAAAAATTACACTGATAAGCCGGGTGTGGTAGTGCAAGCCTGTAATTCTTGTACTCAGCAGGCCAAGACCAGGAGGATCACTGTAAGTTCAAGGACTTGGGCTGTAGCAACCTGGACTGTGTACAGCAAAACCTTGTCCCAAAAAACCCAACCCAATTCAATTCCACCCCAGAAAAACAAAACAAAACCCAAACAAACAAACAACACCGTCATTTGGCAGCCGGCAGGTATTCTAGCAGCCTTTGGTGCGTCTGGCATCCTCTCCTCTGGGTGCCAGGATGCTTTCATCTTTCCTTCTTGGATCCTTACCTGGCCCGGGGTCTCTCGGCCTGACCTCTCTGGAGCACCGCCTCTTGAGTCTTTGGCAATGTCTTAATTTAAATTAGGGTCTTCAGGACCACGAGCTCCTTCTCCACTTCCAACTCCGCTGCAGTTGTCAGAATTCTGGGCTGGCTTCTGCATCTTTGTCTTCTGTTTTTAGAAAGTGCTCCTTTGAGTACATCTTCTACTTCTTCCTCAGAATTGCCTTTCATGGAAGGGTGTGGAAGGCACGCTTATAATCCCAGCACTCGGAGGCCAAAACAGGAGGATTGTCTGTTTGAGTCCAGCCCGCCATGCACAGGGAGACCTGTCTCAAAAAAGACAAAAACAAAACAAAAACAGACAAGACAAAAACAACAACAACAAAGAAAGCAGGAAAGGATTGGCATTCCATATAGTTTCATCCACTTGAGGTCCTGGAAACTTCTCTCCCTCTGCTCCATTTGTTGTCCCAATAAGTCAGCCATTTCCCATTGTTCTTTGGCTTTTCAGGATTCTTTCTGGCGTCATCTGTCTGGAAAGGTTTGCCCCATGCTGGGTAGTAAAGGTCGCTGTTGGCCTCAGCACTGTCCATAGCATTCTGTCTGCTCCTGAGTCCATGTTGCTCCATTTAATTTCATCTGCTCCAACTCCAAACTCCTTTTCAAGCCAGGTGTGGTGGCGCACACCTCTAGTCTCAGCACTCTGGGAGGCTGAGGCAGGAGGACTGCTGTCAGTTCAAGGTCAGCCTGAACTACATTGTCAGACTCTGTCTCAAAAAACCAAAACCCAAAACAAACAAAACCCCAAATCTCCTTTTCATACGGTGCTCCGCGGCCTTCCTGGCCTTCAGGTCTGCTCCTCCACAAGCTTCCGAGGTGCCGGCACTCTTTAGCTCTTCCAAATAAAGGCTCCCAGTTTCGTTCTTTTTCCTGGCTTTGTGTGGAATCTTTCTGTTGCTGCTGGCTCATAAGTGACATTCTTCCTTCTAGGTAAAATTCTTTGAGATGCAGAAGCACCAGCAATCGTGGAAAGGCTGGACACACAACTGGGCCAGTCACTCCGTGGGTCTCCAAAAGGAAGGAAACCCTCCACCTCCTCCAGGGTGGATTCCAGCTCTTCTGCATTATTTTAGAATCATCTTATTTTAGAATCATCGCCCCCTGAAGTCTAAAGGCCCACGCTCTCTCCCTAGGGTCCCCCCACAACATCATCTGATGCTTGGATTCATTGAAATCCTTCACCTACCTCTGTGGCATCATCCACAAGTTTTATTTGGCTTCCTACAGGCACCACGACTGCAGCAGCACCCACTAGCGGGTGGGGGTGGCCAGCATATAAAGGCTCTTTTTTTTTTTTTTGGTACCAGATATTGAATTCACGACCTCATGCTTGCCAGGCCGGCACTTATGTTGATGAGCTAAATCCCCAACCCTACAATTTGTTGTATAAATAGTCACCTAGTGTGCATATCTGACATTATAATATCTATTTTTTGTTTGTTTGTTTTGAGACAGGGTCTCGATGTATAGCTCAGGCTGTCCTCAAACTTGTAGCAATCCTCCTGCCTCAGCTTCCTGAGGGCTGGAATTACAGGTATGCACTTGCATGCCTGGTGATATTTATATTTTGGCTTTCTTTCTGTTTTATTGCTTTGTTTTTATCTCTTTATTTTGATGCAGTGTAGGCTGGCCTGCAATTGGCTGTGTAGTCTGGGGCGGCCTCGAACTCCTCCATGACCCTCCCACCTCCGCCTCTCGGTGCTGGGTTTACAGGTGTGTGACACCACACCTGGTTTCTATATTAGTTCTTATCCGTGGTTTCTGGCTTGTAACTTCCTTTCCAAACAGCCCATAGAAACTAGAACTGCTCTTTTCCAAAAAAGGTAATGGAAACCCTAGCCTTCCCCTGCCTTTCTGACTTGGAAACCTGCAACTCTACCTTGCCTCACGGTGGATGATAAGACCCTCTTTCAAGAACAATCCCAGGAGGGAGGAGGCGCATACAGAGGTTGGGAGGAATCAGAACATAGGCCTGGGGGGGGGGGGCTTCCCATTCAGAAGGTTATCACTGGAATGTCAGCCTCAGAAGGGACCCTCCCCACCCATCACATTCCTACCCTTTCCTCCATGCTTGTCCATTTGGCCAGAGGGGTGGTGCATACCTGTAATTCCAGCGCTCAGGGAGGCTGAGGCAGGAAGATGCAAGTTTGAGCTGGCCAGGCAATTCAGCGTTTTAGCAAGACATTGTCTTAAAATTAAAAAGAAAATAAAAGGGTTTGGGGGCTTGGGATACAGGTCAGTGCAAAGGCCCTGGGTTGAAATCTCAGTATACAACAAACAAATCTAAAGGGCAAGGGTAGGCCTCAGTTCGGGGTTCTAAACCCAGGGAGTCTTGGAGGACTGCACTCGGTGTGCCCCCAACACCTCCTCTGCACATCTCTTCCTTTGTCAAATCCTTCCTATTAAACGGGTGACCGGTGGTTAGTGTCTCCCCGTCTTGTGTTCTTGCAGAGGCCAATTACCTGGCCCTCGAGGTGGCTTATAGGAGCTCCACTTTCCCTGGCTGATCAGAAGGGCAGGTAAAATCCTGGGGCTGGCGGCAGGTGTGTCACGTGGAGGGGAAAGGGTCTTGGGACCCCAGTCACCCACCTATGGGAGCGATGCTGGTCCCAGGCACTGGCTTGGACCGGATTGAACTGGATCAGACACTCGCTAGAACCCACAGCTCCTGGCTTTGAGACTGGCTGTGGTGAGATTTGGGGGGCGGCGCCCCGATCTGAGACTCTTTCCCCACCCGCGCCACGAACACCCAGGATTGGCCTCGTGTCCTGGGCGGCAGAAGCGCGGTGCCGGTGCCGGTGCCGGTGCCGGTGCCGGTGCCGGTGCCGGTCCCGTCTGGTGGCTTCTGGTTTGGTAACTGCAGATCCGCAGGGTCACCCGTTCCTGGGACAGGACGCCTCCCACGCCATGAGCCACCGAGTTCCTGGGAAGTGGTGCCCCAGGGCTGGCCCTGCCCGGAAGCTGGCGCTCTGGGGTCCTGAGCACCCTCCGCTCCCGTTTCACAGCTCTCTCTCGTGGGCTCTGGTCAGAGTTGATCTTCCTGTTGGTCCTTTGCCCTTTTGTCATTGATTTACGGAATTTCTATCTGCTGGCTGTTAGTCATAAGTTATGGAGCTTGCAAACATTTTCTTCCAGGCTGCGCTCGCCCCTGCTTGGACTGTTTTTATGGTGTCTTTTACCACGTAGGGTTTTTTGGTGTGTGTGCGGGCTGAAAATCGAACTCAGGACCTTGCACTTGCCAGGCAGATGCTTGTGTCGCTGAGCTATATCCTGGTCCCTTACCATATAGTTTTGTTTTTGGCACATTAAATACATTTAAGGCTTGACATAGTGGTATATGTCTGTAATCCCAGTGTTCAACAGGCCAGGGCAGAAGGGTCCCTGTGAGTTCGGAGTCAGCCTGGGCTACATAAGTGAGTTCAAGGCCAGCCTGAACTACATAGTGAGATCCTGCCTCAAAAACAAAATAAAATAAATAGATGGGATCATCCACTGTGTACACATCTGTATTTGGCTTCACTCTATATAATGTCTGTGAGATTCACTCCTGTTGTCCTGTGTGTGGGCAGTGCATCCCTTCTTGATCACTGTATAGTGTTCCACGCTGTGACTATATTACCACCTAGTCTTCTTCCAATTGCTTTACTATGAAAACTCATAGTGAGAGGGCTGGGGATTTAGCTCAGCGGCATAAGCACCTGCCTTGCAAGCAGGCAGTCGTGAGTTCGATCCCTGGTACCAATAAAAACGAAAAAGACAAAAATAAAATAAAATAAAATAACTCATGGTGAGAGGCAGCTTCCTGTTCTCCAGGTGCTCCCACCTGAGGGTTTCTCCAGAAGTGAGTCACAGGGTAGCTGCACTGCCTGCTCAGAAATTGCCAAATATGTCCGTTAAGACCTTGTACACCGGCCCTTCCATGGCAGGGTGGAGCCTTTCTGTGGCTTTATCCATCAATGTGTGCCGATCTTCAGTAGCAGCTCACCAGTCACTGAGGTTTCACAGGGCTTGTTTTAACACTTATTTATTTATTCTGTGGGACTGGGGATGAAACCCAGGCCATCACACTGAGCTCCAGCCCCAGGATTTTTTTATTTTATTTTATTTTTGAGACAGGGTCTCTCTATGCAGTTCAGCTGACCTTGAGCTCACTTTGTAGCCCAGGCTGGTCTCGAACTCAAAACGATCCTCCCACCTCAGCCTCCCGAGTGCTGGGATTACAGGTGTGAGCTGGCTCAAGCCCCAGGGGTTTTAAAAGATTTATTTTTGAGACAGTCTTGCTAATCTGCTAGGCTGCAGGCTGCGCCAGCTGCTCTCCTCCTGGGATTACAGCTAGGTGCCATCTCATCCATCCAGACCCTTTCAAGGGGACAGACCCCACCCTAGAGATCTCTGCGGACAGGCTGAGAGGCCTTGAGACTGTGTGAGGCTGTCAGTCAAACCCTGGCTGCTGGAGAGCAGACCCACGGTGGCCGGTGGCCGTGTGCCTGGAACTAAAGACACAGGTGCTCAGAGCCTCAGGCAGATGCCACTAATGGCCGGTGCTCTGGCTTCCTGCAGAGATTTTATTTTTCCAATACTGAGGGATGAACACAAGGTCTTCACAATGAACTACATCCCCAGCCCTTTATTTATGTGTTCGCTTACAAGACAGAATTGCCCTAAATTGTTCAGACTGGGCTCACACTTGCCATCCTCCGCCTCAGCCTCCCAGAGTTTAGGATTAGAGGTTCCCACCACCACCCCTGCTGAGATCATTCTCCAGGGGGAATCTGTCTTCCCGACCTGTAGGCTTTTAGGCACCAAGGTTTCTTTTTGCCGAGTTATTTCCCTTTTGAATACTCCTTCTTTGTCCAGAGTAGCTGTCTGCCGTGTCTCTCTCTCTCCTTTCTTGTCCCTCACCTTCAAAGAAATCATCTTCTTTGAAAAAAGGACTTTTGTTTTTAATTAGAAGCATAAAACATCTTTTATTGGGCTTTCATTGTCGAAGTATTTTACTGTGAACTATTAGGATTTTGACTATTTTCTCCTCTTGCCTCAGTGGCTGGAGAAATGCTCACCACTCACTCATGGTGAAGTCTCTATGTTGGTTGCCTGAGTTGCGCTCAGACTTGTGATTCTCCAGCCTCAGCCTCCTGGACCTCCGGGATGACAGGTGTGTGCTTATGTTACAGAGCAGAAACACAACAGGGTTGCTAGGTAACTTGGGCAAGGCGAGGCAAACAGCAAGGATTAAATCCAGGGTTTTTTTTCCTTGAAGTTTGAATTTTTAAATTGACAAATAGAAATGTGAGGCGTGGCTTCCGCAGGGCCGGGGCAGCAGGGGCCGGGAGGGGCCGAGGGATCCTGCCTCACTGTTTGCTTTTCGTCCCCTGCGGGAGTGGCTGAGGCCCCTCACCTTGGCCGCCTGGGGCTCCTTCCTTCTCCTGCAGCCGCCTGGGTCCCTGGGGCCATCTGGGTGGCAGAGCCTGCCGTGGCGGGCATGGCCCGGGGAACAGGTTCTTGCGCGCAGGGCGGGGAGGGGGGCCCTCCTGGTGGCTGTCCCCCACCTTGTCCCCTGGGGGTGGCGCGGCAGGTGCGCGCCACCTCGGTCTGGAGACAGGTGGGGAGTCGGGTTGCAGAGGGAGTGTGCTTCGCGTCGGGGCGGGTGTCCCTGGCTGCTGGCTCGTCCGTTTGTCCGTCTTCCGGGAGGGACAGTAAGAAGGTGTTAGAGGAGACTGGCGGGGTGGGCTGGCTGCTTTGGGGTCGTTCCCAGCCCCTTAGGTGTCACCAAGCAGAGAAGGGACGGGTGAGTCAGGACCTAGGGCTCAGTTTCCCCCAAGCCATAAGGAGGCCCGGCCAGTGCCGAGCTCTTCCCTTCGCGGCCAGGCCTGGGCCCAGAGCGGGACTAGGAGTGGCACCCCGAGCTTTTCCCCACTTCCTGAGCCCCCACGCACCTGCCCCTCCAAAACCCAGGGCAGGGCAGAGAAGAGAGAGGTTGAGTCCAGGCCACCGCAGGGCTTGATGCCTCCTCCTCTCTGACACCCACATCCTCCCCAGGCCCAGCAGTTCCTCGAGGCTGCAGCCCCCCAGAAAAAAGAGTGTGTGCTTGGGCTTTGCTCCCAGAGCCCTGTCTCACCTCCAGGGGGTGGGCCAGCACTGAAGGGACTCTCGCCTCCATGCTGGGGCCCCCCTGCCAGGGGGCACCCCCTCCCCATCACTCTTCCCAGGACTGCCCTGGGTAGGTGGGGGCACCTGGCCTCTGTCACCACCTTGGCCACACCTGCTATCCCTCCTGCGGATACAAGGGAGCGCCACACCAGGGACCTCAACTAAGCAGCCTGCAGCCATAGTGGAAGGACCATGGCCACTGCTCAGCTTTTCCTGCTTTTTGTTTTTTTAACTTAAAGTACTGGGACCGGGCCTGGTCGCACATGCCTGTAATCTCAGCACTCAGGAGGCTGAGTTTGCCGTGAGTTTGAGACCAGCCTGGGCTGCATAGTGAGTTCAAGACCAGGTCGAATCACATAATGGGACTCTATCTAAAAAAAAAAAAAAAGGGGGCTGGGGATTTAGCTCAGCGGCATAAGCACTTGCCTTGTAAGTATGTGGTCATGAGTTCGAACCCTGGTACCGATTAAAAAAAAAAAAGACAAAAAAGATTAAAAAAAAAAAAAAATATATATATATAGTATTGGGAATTGAACCTGGGCGGGCATGCTGAGCTACATGCCCAGCTCTTTGTTTATATTTTTTATTTTTTATTTTAAGAGAAGGTCTTACTCAGTCACTTGCCCAGGCTGGACTTGAACTTGCAGTCCTTCTGCCTCAGCTTCCCAGAATGCAGCTTTTACTTTTCATGTATAATTTGTAAAAATAATTTATAAATGACTCACGGTTCGAACAGCCCACAAGGACCACTTCCGGCAGCGGGTTATAACTGTCGCTCCACATCCTCCACCTGCCTTTAGCATTGGCCTTGGCGCCACTTTCTAAATTTCCTCCAAGCAGCGGGTGCACTCAGAGCTGCAGTTCGCCCAAGCAAACACGAGAGGGGGCTGCAGCACAACCCGCCGCCGGCCTGGCGCTGCCGGTTTTGGGGACCAAGCGCGGCACTTGGCTTTTGCCGCACTACTTCTGGGACCCTCCCCTGGGCCTGCGCCCCTACTACCTCTGGGCAAGGAGTTGGGGGACTGGGAGGGGTGCGCCTAGGGACCTCTCCGAGCTGCTTGCTACGGAACTGGCCACAGGCACCAGGAATGAGCACCGCCCCCAGCTACCTCCCAGCCCTTTTGATCTTTTGAGACTGGGTCTTTCGCCCAGTCCCTAAACTGCACAGGTTGCTCCAACTTGTGGTTCTCCTGCCTTAACATCCAGAGTGCAGGGGTTACGGGGCTGCAGTGCCATGCTCAAGTCCCTTTGTAGTCTCTTTTGCTGTTTTTCAAAAGAGGGGTCTCACTATGTAGTTCAGGCTAGCCTTGAACTCATAGTAGTCTAGGCTGGCTTCAAACTCTCAGCGATCCTCCTGCCTCAGCCTCTTGAGTGTTGGGTTTACAGCTATGCACCACCATGCCCTGCCCTTTGTAACTTCTGAGTTTCTCCCCATCCCAAGCCAGCCCGGAGCTCAGTGTTGTCCTGGGAGTGAACTGGTGCAGACCTGAACTGTGGTATAGGTCCACGTTTGGTTGCCATCAGTGCTGGGTTCACATCCTGGCTCCACTTGCTGTGTGACCTGGGCTGAGTCACAGGCTCCGGGTGTTATAGAGGCTGTGTATGGTTTCCTGTCTGATCCTGGCATCCACACAGTGCTACTCACAAGCTGGGAGTGGTGGGGCAGGCTGTAATCCCAGTATCTGGGAGGCTGAGACAAGAGTGTGTCAAATTGAAGCCCACCATGGGAAACAGTGACTTAGCAAGACCCTGTCTCAAAATAAAAAAATAAAGGGGCGGGGGTAGGTTATAGCTCAGTGGTAGAGCACTTGCCAGGTGTTCTGAGAATATAGCTCAGTGTGAAGACTCCTAGTTCAATGTCCAGTACCATATATATACAAAAAACTAATTATGATTTCATTTCATTTATTTATTTATTTATTTTTGGTACCAAGGATTGAACTCACAACCTCACACTTGCCAGGCAGGTGCTTATGCGGTTGAGCTAAATCTCCAGCCCATTTCATTTTGTTTTAACCTATTCTATTATTTGGTAACAGGGCTTGAACTCAACCTCACACTTGCCAGGCAGGTACATGTGCTGCTGAGATATATATCTCTACCCCTTTTTATTTTAAAGAGAAAAAAACAAAACCAAACAATGAGAACGAGCTTGGATTTCCAAAACAAGACAGTAGGACAGTAGTTACTATATGGCACATTGTCGTCCTCTAAATAGTTGCTCAAAAAATTAAAAAAAGTTGCTCAGACTATCAGATATAATAGGATGCAAAGTTGATCAAATGATTCAAGTCCTAAATTGTATCTTTACCTCAGTTTCTATCATTTCAGAAATTTCAGATGTGTGACTTCTAATTTCTTTGGTGGCTATGTCCCCGGGACTTGTTCTGGGTGGGCTGGGGGTCTGGGGCTGCACCTTGCTGCTTCATCTTGATATGTCCCTGTGGTTCCCTGAATCAGCAGTAGCTGAGCCCCAGGCACTTCCTGTACTGGCTGCCTGTACCTCAGCTCAGGGGATGGGGCTGGGAACTGGGTTCCTCCAATCCAAGGTTCCCAGGGTGGTGGAGAGTTTCGGGGTGGCGGCTCACCGATGCTCCCCCGCCATGGTGGTGGCGTCTCTGGGCGTCATGAGATGGAATCTTGGCTTTGTTTCACTTTGCATCTCTTGAATGGCCAGTGATGTTGAACATTTTTTCATATATTTATTTGCAGTTTCTATAATTCTTCATGTGAGACATGTCCATGCATTTCAGATGACTGTTTTTTGGACCAGATCTTTAAATTTAAGGGATCTTTTTTTTTTTTTTTTGAGTTCTTTATATATTCTAGATAGTAGTCCTTTGAGGAACAGCTGGCAAAACTTTTTTCCCACACTATGAGTTGTGTCTTCACTTTGTTGGTGATTTCCTTTGCTGTGCAAAAGCATTTTAGTAAGATGAAATCCCAGTTTTTGATTCTTTGTGATAGTTCCTGTGGAATTGGAGTTTTGTTCATAAAGTCTTTGTCTCCACTACTATCTTCAAGAGTTCTATCTATTCTATGTTCTAGCAGATTTAGTGTTTCCTTTTTTTATATTCAGATCTTTGATCCATTTCAATTTTAGTTTCGTGCATGATGAAAGATATGGCTCTAGGTTTAACTTTTGGCATGTGGAAAACCGGTTTTCCCAGCACCATTTATTTATTTAATTTTTGGTCTTTTTGAGACGGGGTTTCATTATGAGTTCAAGCTGGTCTTCAGCTCACTTTGTAGCCCAAATTGGCTTCAGCCCCCTCCAACTGCTGGTATTACAAGCATGCACCACCATGCCTGGCTGCTAGCATCATTTATTAAAAAGGCTGTCATTCTTCCAGTGAAAGGGTGTTTGGCCCCTTTGTCGAAGATAAAGTAGCTCAGATCAAGTGTTTTGGTGTATGCTTAATCCCAGCACTCAGAAGTTTGAGGCAAGATCTCTGTGAGTTCCAGGGTAGCTAGCTGAATTGTGTAGTGAAATCCTGTCTCAAAAAACAAACAACAATAACAAAAATCGGGGAGTATTGGGGATTTACCTCAGCAGCATAAGCAGGCTCCAGGTCATGAGTTCAATCCCTGGTACAAAAAAAAAAAAAAAAAGAAAAGAAAAAAAAGTGACTATGTCTAAAGTTGTTTCTACATCTTCTAATCTGTTCCATTGATCCTCAGGTCTGGGTTTTTTTTTTGTTGTTGTTTGTTTTTTTACAGTACCATGCTGTTTTTTATTGCATGATATAGCTTTGTATTTTATATATATATATATATATATATATATATATATATATATATATTTGTTTGTTTTGTACCAGGGATTGAAACTCATGACCTCACACTCACCAGGCAGGCATTTCTATCGCTGAGCTGAATCCCTGGCCCCTGTAGTATAATTTCAAGCCAGGTATTGTGATGCCCTCTGTGTTGCCTTTATTGCCCAGATTTGTGTTTGCTATTCTAGGTCTCTTCTGGTTCCACATGAATTTTAGGATTGTTTTTTCTAATTTTGTGAGCTATGCTAGTGGCATTTTGATCAGGATTACATTAAATCTGTATAACAATTTTGAACATGTGGCCATTTTCACTATATTGGTTCTTCTTACCCAAGAACAAGGGATATCTTTCCATTTTCTGATGGCCTCTTTGATCTCTCTTTTCAGAATACTGTAGTTTTAAATGTAAAGATTTGCAGTGAGTTTAGATCAGTGGCATAAGTGCCTGCCTGGCGAGTGCAAGGTCGTGAGTTCAATTCCTGGCACCAAAAAAAAAAAAAAGTAAAGGTCTTTCACTGCCTTCATTAGATTGATTCTGGTGCTTCATGTTTTGGATGCTGTTGTAAAAGGCATTTCTGTGATTTCTCTCTCAGTGAGTTTGTTATTCATGTACAGGAATGCAATTGAGTTTTAAGTGTTGACTTTGTATCCTATTACACTATTGAATTTGGTTATTAATTCCAGGAGACTTTTGGTGGAGCTTTTGGGATCCTCTATATAGAATATTGTGTCGTCCACAAATAAGGATAATTTAACTTCCTTTCCTATCCTTATTCCTTTTAATTCTTTCTCTTGTCTAATTGCTATAGTTAATGTTTTCAGAACTACATTGAATAAGAGTAGTGACGGTGGACATCCTTATCTTGTTTCTGATTTTATTTTTTAATTTTTTAATTTTTTTGTCTTTTTCCTTTTTATCGGTACCGGGGATCGAACTCACGACTGCCTGCTTACAAGGCAGGCACTTATGCCGCTGAGCTAAATCCCCAGCCCCTTGTTTCTGATTTTAGAATGAAAACTTTGTATTTGCCCATTCAATATGATGTTGGTTGTTGGTTTGTCATAGACAACTTTTATCACATTGAGATAAAGACCCTCTATCCAATTTTCTGTGGTGTTTTTATCATGAACATGTGTTAGACCTTATGAAACACTTTTTCCCTCTCCGTTGAGATGATCATGTGGTTTTTGTCATTGGCTCTGTTGATATGGTGGATTACATGTATTGAACCATATCTGCATCTCTGGGATGAATCCCACTTGGTCATGGTGTATAATCTTCTTGATGATTTGCTGCATTTTTCTTTGCCAATATCTTATTGAGGATTTTTGCATCTATGTTCATTAGGGAAATTGGCTTATAGCTCTCTTCTTAAAAATTTTTTATTTAAAGAAAAACAAAAGCCAAAACAGTAAAAGGGTACAAGTAATACAGAATTTCAAGAAAATAAATAGTAAGAAATCACTAGCTAATAGATTACATATTGTCATCTTAGAAATAACTACTCAAGTTACAAAATTAAAGCATAAAAAGTGGACATTCAAACAGTGAGACTGCAAACAGTTGTGTTCAATGATCCAACAAAAACTTAGTAATATGGTCATCTATCTTACACACCTAAACACACTTGCAGTTGTATCCTTTAGAGCACGTTCTTTTCCTCTTTTTTTTACAATAACAATTACACATTTTGGGTTTTATTACTCCCACAGTTCTTACTACCTTTTTTTTTTTTTTTGGAAGAGGATAAAACCAAATGTGACAAAACAAAGCACAGTCAGTCAAAACAAAGGATGGACATAGTACATGATGTAAAAACAGAATACAAGGTGATCAACAAAGGTTACCATAATGCCTCTTGCTACCTTAAAAAGAATTGCCTATATCACCACGTATAATAAAATTGAACAAAACAGTACAGAACAAAATCAATAAAACCTAAACATTGGAGACATTACAGGATTTCAAAAGAAGATAATAGTCAAACCATAATGGGCATCATAGTGAATCTTATTGCCTTCAAAGTAGTTGCCTATACCTTCAAACTTGATACTATCAAACAAAACAGAATAGAGTAAAATCAGTCAAAACAAGATGGTGAGAGCAATACAGGGCTTCAAATCAAGTTAATAGGAAATCAAAAAAGTTACTGTAGTTCTCTTTTTTGGTTGGATCTTTCTCTGGTTTTGGTATGATGGTAATGCTTCCAAGAATGAATTTGGGAGTATTGATTTAATTTCATTAAAGAGTTTGAGAAGTAGTTGTGTTAGCTCTTCTCTAAATTTCTTTTAGAATTCAGCATGAATTCATCAGGACCTGGACTTTTCTTTGTTGGTATTTATTTATTTATTTGTAGTAGAAATTGAACTCATGACCTTGTGCTTGCCAGGTAGGTGTTGTGCTGCTGAGCTATATCCCTGGTCTGTTGGTAGGTTCTTAATTACATCTTTGATTTTTTTTGATTGATATTGATTTATTTAGAAATTGTACATCTTCTTGATTCAGCTTTGGTAATTATATGCATCTAAGAATTTGTCCATTTCTCTGTTTTCCACCTTATCAGAATACAGGTTCTTTTGTGTGTGTGTGTGTGTGTGTGTGTGTGTGTGTGTGTGTGTGTTTCATTTTTATCGGTACTGGGGATCGAACTCACGACTGCCTGCTTGCAAGGCAGGCACTTATGCCGCTAAGCTAAATCTCCAAAATACAGGTTCTTGAGGCAAGTATTGGTGATCTGCTGGATTTTTGCAGTATTAGTTGTGATCTCACTCTTTTTAATCCTAATTGCAAGGATTTAAGTCTTTCTTCTTCTTCTTTTTTTTTTTTTTAATCGGTACCAGGGATGGGACTCACGACCCCGCACTTGCAAGGCAGGCGTTTATGCCTTTCCTCTTTTCTTTGATGAGTGGCTAAGAGTTTGTGAATTTTACTTAATCTATCAAAGAACCAACTCTTTGTTATTGATTTGTTTTGTTTACTTAGTCGCTGTTGCATTGATTTCTGCTCTGAACTGTCGAATTTCCTTTCTCATATGCTTTGAACTTGACTTCTGAGAAGCTTGAGGTTCAACATTAGGTTGTTTGAGCTTCCTGTTTTACTGATGTGGGAATTCATCACTCTAAATTTTTTCTGTAGGGCCATCTTTCATCATGTCCCATAAGGTCCAGTATGTTGTAGTAGCATTATCATTTGATTGTAGAAACATAACTCTAATATCATCTGTGAACCATCGATTGTTCAGGAGGGTGTCATTTAATTTCCATGTGTTTATGAAGTTCTTTTGCCACTGATTTCCAATTTCATTGCACTGTGGTCTGATGAGTATGCATGGGATAATTTCAATTTCTTTGCATTTACTTAAGCACATTCTATGAGCAAGTGTGTATTCTGTTTTGGAGGATGTCCTATGTGCACAGAGAAGGATGTGTATTCTGATGTTGTGGGGTGGAGCACTATTCAGACATCTGCTATGTCCATTTGCTCAAAAGTTTGATTCAGTTCTGATATTTGACTTTTTTTGTCTAGTTCATCTGTTTATTTGTGACAGTGGGGTATTGAGGTCACCCATTACAATTGTATTAGTGCTTATTTGATTTTTCATGTCCCTTAATATTTGTTTTATGTAGTTGGGTCCACTGATATTTGGTGAACATATATTTATCTTTTTCGTTTTCGTTTTTATCGGTACCAGGGATCGATCGAACTCAGAACCGCACACTTGCAAGGCAGGCGCTTATGCCGCTGAGCTAAATTCCCAGCCCCATATTTATCCTTTTTTGAGAAAGGGTCTCACTATGTAGCTCAAGTTAGCCTTAAACTCAGGAGATCTTCCTGCCTCAGTCTCTGGAGTGCTGAAATTTACAGGTATGTGCCACCATGCCCAGCTGGAGGTTGTTTTCTTTCTTTCTTCTTCTTTTTGTAAATTGTTTTCTTTTGGGGTTTGAAATACTTCACTCTCCTGTTGTACACTAGCAAAAAGAGCTTCGTTATATTTGTATTATACCAAAACACCTGTAATGTGGCTGTACTGTTCTGTATGCGGGTCCCCCCCCCACCTAATTGATATGTTAATCAATGCTCTCCTCTGTAAAGATTTGTGAATCCCTGGGAACCTAACCTAATTGATATGTTAACCATTGTTGCCCTATTCAAATAACAGATGTGGTGCTAAAATAAACTGACAAAGAATTGTTAATTACTGCCAGACTACTCTATCCTCTACTAAGGGAAACAAAGGTCTTCCTCATTAGCAGATTTCCTGATCCACGCCCATAACCTCTTACTTTGTAAACTGATATGTACAAAAAGGCTGCAAGTATAGAGGAACAACACACAGCTTTTGCAATCTCCAACTGCACTGTGTCGCTGGGCCCAGGATAAAATAAATCAGCGCTGCTTTTAAAAATATGTTTTTGCCTCATTTTTTGAACTTGAGTTTGGGGGCTCGTTTGTGGATTACAAGATCTCCTTGATTTGAGGGTTTGTGTTAAGAAATCTGCTGTGATCCTGATGGGCTTTCCTTGATGCTGTGTCCCACACAGCTCTCGATGTTTCCAGGGTGAGGATGGCGAGAGGAAGGAGAAAAAGGAAGAACTGGAATACAGAAAGCTGAGGCCCTGTGCAGCCCCCCTCCTCTCCTGATGGGAAGCACAAAGCCGGAAGAGAAAGAGAAGGGGCGAGAGGAAGAAACAAGAGCTCCAACGGCTGCAGCGGCTTATTTATACAGTGGGAGGCTGAGTGTCACATGAGACCTCTCTGCCTGCGAGCTTATCCCCATGGCTCGTCTGGGCACCCTGTGTCCTTGAGATTACAGCAGTGTAGCCACGTGATTCGCCTCAGGGGTTCTCTGTTCTTCAGACTCCTTGCTCTGGCCCCAGACGTAATCAATCTTCAGCTTCAGCTCTTCCCACACCTTTACCGGTGGTTTGTTTCTTTTTTCTAACAGCTTTCAATACTCTGTTCCTGTTGAATTTCTGAAATCTTGACTATAATGTGCCTTGTGTGCTCTCTCTTTCTCTGTCTCTCTGTCTCTTTCTCTATACACACACACACACACACACATATCTATCTATCTATCTATCTATCTATCTATCTATTTAAGTAGGGGGATCATGGTTAATTGGAGTTCTCTATGTCTCACTTATCTGTATGTCAAATTCTTTCCAGTTTGCAAAGTTTTCTGCCATGACTTTAAAAAAAAAAATGTCATTTGCAGTTTCTCCTGCTTTTTCACTGACTCCAATCAATCTTATGTTATTCTTTGCATCATCTAGCAGCTGTTGGATTGGTTTTCCGTGCTCCCTTGCTATTTTAAAGAAATCTTTTCACAGTTGCTAACTGCCATCCTGTCTTTTAGATCTGTTATTCTCTCCTCACATGGAGTCATTGTGCTGTGTACACTTTCAGTGGAATTTTTAACCTCCTGGAGAGCTGTTGGAATCTGTTTCATGGACTTCATTTCTTTCCTATGCTGGGCATTCATGGTTTCCATCATTTCCCTAAGGTCTAGTTTTTTAAATCTGCACTGGCAGGGGCTGGGGCTTTAGCTCAGCAGCATAAGCGCCTGCCTTGCAAGCAGGCAGTCATGAGTTCAATCCCTGGTACCTGCACTGGCTCGAGTCTCTCACCCTGTCTTGCATTACGGTCACCATTCCCGTAGTTCTCTGAGAAATTATTTCCGGTTTGATTTATTTTAGAGCCTCCTTCATCTGCTTTGTTACTTCTGTTGTCACCACTTTAGGAAGAGCCCCAGTGTGGATTTTTGTATTGTCCCTCTCACTGTCCTCTGGGTTTGTCTTTGTTGAACTGGACATCTGGGGTCGCATGTTGGTCTTTTCCTTTTCTTAAAGTTTAATTCCTGAGCTGATGCACGTACTTGCTTATGGCGGGTAGATTATTGTTAGTACTGAGAACCCTTAGGAAACGACTGCTTCTCAGTGATGTCTTCGAAATGTAGCTGGCTTTTGGGATTTGAGTTTGTTACAAGATGTTACCTCTTTAATTTACCTGGGAGGAGAAACTCCTGCCCAGGTCGCCTAACTCCTGGCTTTTGGCACTGGTCTACAGTAGTTTTATGATCCTTAGGCCATCTCACTCCTGGCTTGCCAGGAAGAATACCTGATTAGAACAACCGTGTCCCCGTGGGCAAAGTAGTACCACAGCCAAAACAATAGAACAATAGTGTCCAATGCAGCCTAGAAAATGACAAACTGAGGTAATTATTAATTTGCCACCTTTAACCATATGGACTAGATTTGTAGTTATATAACAAACCCTAAAACAAATCAGAAAATTGTACATAGCAATTATGCCCTCAGTATGGCAACTTCACCCCCAGGGGAGAAAATTTATAAGGAGTTAAGGGGAAAAACAGAGACATAGAAGAGGTGCTTTGCAGGTCTGAGCTGCCCTCCCACGCGGTGAGTCAGGGCCAGGGAGAAAGGCTGGCTGCCACCTCCCTTGTTGAGGGCTGACTCTTGGTTTTCCTTGTGGGTTTAATTCTCGATTCACAGCCTTGCTCCCGAGGAACCACTTCCTTCTCCTCTTCCTCATGTTGCTGTATTCCAGTGTCTGGACACCAAACCTCAGAGAGGCTCTTTCTCTCTGCTGTCTTCCTCTGACCTGTTCTTTTAAAAGTAGAACTAAACATTTTTTATTTTTATGTTTGAGGTGAGATCTTGTTATGATGCATAGGTGGACTTCAAACCTGATTCACCTGCCTCAGCCTCTTGAATAACTGGGACTATGGTGCAGGTGACCTCACTTGGCTTAACAGACATTTTTTTCTTTTACTGGAGGTGAAAGCCAGGGCCTTACACATGCCAAGCAGGTGCTGTCCCCCTAAGCTACACCCCAGAACTCAGGACCATGCCAAGATCTTATGCAGGACCCTGTTCACATTCTGTCCTCAGGTTGCCTGGGCTCTTCTTGCTGGAACAGTTTCTCAGATTTTCCCTCGGCACCCCCCCCCCCAGTACTGAGGTTTGAACCCCAGGCCTCTGTGCTGAGTAACTCGCCCAGCGTCTTTTACTTTTTATTTGGAGACAGGGTTTTGCTAACTCACTAAGTTGCACAGGCTGGACTTCAAGTTGTGATGCTCCTGCCTCAGCCTCCTGAATAGCTGCGGGTACAAGTGTTTGGCATTGTGCCTGGCTTTATTCTTTCTGTTACTAGAATCCCATTCTGTAGCTGGTTGTGGATGAACATTCTGTTGTCCCCCAAAGCTGTTCATGGGTCCTCGGAGAAAAACAAGCCGCTCTTCCCAACCTCAGGCGCTCACAGCCTAGATGTGAGCTGGGAGGTGGAGCAGCTGAGACTCCCCAGCGGGTCCAGCATCATCTGGGTGATCACCCTGAGGGATCCAGGCAGCCCCTCCGGGTCCTCGGGGAAAGTACCACTGTCTGTGTGCTCCTGTGATGACGCTGCCCCTTGGAACTTCCATGACCCATAACCAGTAAATAAGCAGGTCAGGCAGAAGTTAGGCAGAGGTAGATTTTTACTTCTTTTTTTATAGTATAAGGGCATGAACTCAGGGCCTTTGCATTGAGTGCATCTCTAGTCCTTTTATATTTTTTATTTTGAGACAGGATCTCACTAAGTTGCTAAATTGCCTAGGATGGTCTCAAATTCATGGAGATTTCTCTGCCTCAGCCTCCCAGAGTGCTGGGATTATAGGTTTACATGTGCCACCACCCAGTGACAGGTGGTTGTTTTTAATTGATGGCCAAAGAGCAGTCCTGATTCCTCAAAGTGGCTTCAAAGAGCACTAGCAGATCAAAGGGGCCACTAGGACTCAAGCCCAGCGGTTTCCAGGGCTCCTGGGGCTCATGGCCAAGGGAGGGGCTTCCTGGTGTCCTGGCAAGTCAGAGGGGAGCATGGCACTGGGGGGAGTCCCTGCCGCCTGCTTGATGGCAGTGCATGAGCTGACCCTGACAGGAGAAACTCGGGGGCCCGGGACACACCCTGGGGCAAGGTAGGCACTGTGTGTGGCACAGGAGGGGCTTCAGGGATGGAAGGAGGGGGAAGACGCACGGCAGGGTGCCAGCTGGCCGAGTTGGAGAGGGCTGCCAGGGAGGGATGTTAATGTGGTGCGCTGGGACTAGGGTGCCTTCAAAAGTCCCAACCCTGCACAATTTTTTTTTTGTCTTTTTCATTTTTATTGGTACCGGGGATTGAACTCATGACCGCCTGCTTGCAAGGCAGGTGCTTATGCCACTGAGCTAAATCCCCAGCCCCAACCCTGCACAATTATATATCCAGCCTCCCCAGGAGCCTGGCCATGACCAGCCCTACCCCAGCCTCCTGGCCCCTAGCTGCGCCAGTTTGCGGGGTCTAGAAGGATGTGAGGGACAGGGTGGCCAGGCCAGGCTCTCCCGCACCTGGGCTAGGGTGGGGCGCTCTGATACCTGAGTCATGGAGGGGGGGGGGCTGGGTGTCAGATGCTCTCGATCTTGGATTCCTGGGCTTTGACCCTGTCACGGCTGACTCACTGGCCACGCACCGGGAATCCCTCCTGAGCTCAGCCTGCTGGTTTCTTTTGCTCTTCTCCTATGTCACAAAAGCAGAAGGCAGCTCTGTGAACCAGCATCATCAGGTGCCCCGCCCATCTTCCAAGAAGAGGGTCACCCCCTAGGCCCCCACAATGCCTCTGGAGACCAAGCTCAGTGTGCCCTCCCTGAAAGGCACATCCACAAAGAGCAATGCAGGGGGCAAGGGGAATACAGTGCTAGTTCTCTGGGCTCCAACGACAATTAGAGTGACAGGGAATGCCCCTGTGTCATTTTCTGGGAAGACAGGATGATTTCCTTTTATAGGAAGGCACCCAGCATGGTGCTTGGCCCTTACATAGCAGATGCTTCTAAAAGGTTTGCTCACTGACTATGGGAGGGCTGCAAAGGACAGCCTCTTGGTCAGACCAGAGGGTTAGCAGGGATCTTGTGGCCTCTATGTGCTCTCCCTGCACCAGCCTGGGAGAGCCTGGAGAAAACAAGGCCTCCCCAGAAGTTGGGGAGCAGAAGGGAGAGTGGAAGCGGGTGAAGGAGCCTCTGAAATAAGGCAGGTCTCCTCTTTTGGGTGGGGACAGAATCTCACAATGCAGTTCCGGCTGGTCTTGAACTCATGGTGCTTTTCCTTCCTCAGCCTCTCAAAGGCTGGGATGACAGGGCTGCATCACCGCACCAGGTTACCCCTGACCTCTTCATACAGCCCTTCTTCGGGCCCTGTCTCCCTGCCAGAAGTGTACCTGTGCCCTGAAACTCCCGCCGGCAGGCAGGGTGGCCTTTCTGCCTTCCGTGGAAATGCTTTGATGTCTCCATCGTGTGGGGCCCATCCCGGGGACAGCACCTGCTCCACCAGTCTGGGTGGCAGGCCAGGCTGCTGGGATGAGGGCCAGGGCTCTGGCCTCTGGACCCTGTCCTGGAAGGACCTCAGTGGCCACACAGGTCTAGCTCTGGGGCCTTGGACCTGGTTCTTCACAGAGCGCCTGGTGGCCAGGTTGGGGCTGTCACCTTCTGCAGGTGAGGAGATGGGTCCAGAGGTGGTCACTACTGTCCAGTGATCATGGCTGCTAGGAGCAGAGTTTGGATCCCACCCCGGGGTGCAGGGGTCTCTCGAAAGAGAGACACAAAGAAGCCACCCTGTTCTGCCTTGGGGCTTGACAGTTCCCAGTCCAGGGTCCAGCCCAGTGAGGTCCCAAAGCTGTTTGGGAGAGTCAGGCTCTTCCCAGAGAAACAAGGGATCAGGGCTCAGAAAGGACCAGGAAACACGGTACACGTGGAGGAAACTCATTTTATGTTTCCAGATATCCTTTTATGGGCCCTTTATTTTGTGAAATTTTATAATTAATGGTGTTATTTATGGTTCAAAAAGATACATGGTCCGGAGGCTGAGGCAGAAGATTGCCAGGAGTCTGAGTTCAGCCTGGACTGCTACATAGGGAGACCTGGTCTCAAAAAATAAAAACAAACAAAAACAAAAAGAAAACAAGATACAGGATCATCTTCCTTTTTTTTGGTACCGAGGATAGAACTCACAATCTTGCACTTACCAAGTAAGTGCTTGAACTGCCGAGCTAAATCCCTGGCCCAAGATAGAGGATCTTAACCCCTGTCTGTGAGGGCTGGGAGATTTGAGTGCTGAGCTCCATGAATTTTGCAAAAAAAAAAAAAAAAGTTTGTTTTTGAAAAGATCCTTTATTTTTGTTCAAAGTAGCTCCTTTGATTTCTTTAATTTCACTATTTTATTGATTTACTGATTCTGCATTACCAGAGGAACCCCGAGGAAAGAGGTGCAGACAAAATTTCCTGGAACCCTGAGCCTTCTGCACCCGTGCCTGTGTTGGGTGTTGGGCTGTGCCCCCTCAGAGGCCGCAGGTGTCTCCTGCTCTGAGCAGGCGTGGTTCCTGTTCCTGTGGCTGTCACCTGTCCGGGTCTCCTGGGCATACAATACCTAAAAGCTAGATGAGCCGGTGTTAGCCAAAAATCATCCCTCCACCACACACAACTAAAATCAAGCTGCACTAGCTGCAGGTCGTGGTGAACACCTCTAACCCCAGCTTTCTGGAAGGCTGAGGCAGGAAGATCATAAATTCCAGCTCAACGCAGGAGGAATTTAGCAATTGAATGAGACCCTGTCTTAAAATAAAAAATAAAAAGGTCTCTCATGATGGTGCTCACTGGAAAGTCCCTGGGTTCAATCACTGGGAAAAGAAAAAAAAGAGAGAGAGAGAGATATAGACAGTGGATTTATGTAGTGGGCAGGGACGGCTGAACTGATCTGGTGGAAGGGGCATTGACCAAAACCAGCCCAGATGACACAATCCCATCGGTATTAACTTGCACAGTATCTGTGGGGAAGCAGTAAAATAAAGGAAGTGCCAGTTCTGCACTTGGTGACTCAAGTTTATAGAGATGGCCAGCAGTAGCAGTGAGGTAGGGCCCCGTGAGGCTGGTAGCTGGAGGGAGGAGGATTTCCGATTTCCTGGGCGGAGTCCCAGCAGGGGAGCTGCAGGTGGAGGAGGGGATGTGGAGAGGGGGTGGGAGGAAGCAGACAGTAGGCAGGCATCATGGAGCGCCAGCCCACCTTACCTCAGCTCCGGGCTTGGACTGAGGGGCTGGGCCCGAGGCAGGAGAGTGGGGGTCCCTCTAGGCCACGCCCCCATGCTGTTGGCCAGAGTCCCAGGAAAGGCACAGCCGGAAGTGTGGAGGAGGGGTGCCGGGTGGGGGTAGGTGTTTGGCTATTTGTGTCCTGGCCCTGGAAGCTGCAGGTAAGGGGCAGGTAGGGTCTGAGCAAACCAGGCTTCTTGTTGGGCTTCAGTTTACCACTGGCATTGAGGCCAGAGGCTGAGATGAGGTGATAGGCAGGACAGGCTTCCTGAAGATCAGGTGGGTGCTATCTCTTCAGTGATCAGCCCGCAGGCCATCCTAGGGTTCCTCAGAGCCCTTGTAAGGAAAGTCCCGGAAGGGAGGCTTGGCCCAGCAGAAACTGTCCCTGTTTGTGTGTCCCGGTAGGTGGGGCAGGTGTGCGGGGGCGGGGAAGGGCCTGGCTGTCGGGTGCTGCCTCCCGTTCCTTCCTCAGAAGTCCCTTGCACACCTACTGTGTGAGTCTGCCTGCTGCAGTTAATTGAGACCTTGCTGTGTCCTCTGGGAGCCCCAGGCTGGCTGGGGAGAAGCAGATGCGTGTGTGTGTTACCTTCCCTACCTGTAATAGACTGTCCTGGCCAGCCTGTGCTAGCTTTGTGACCCAGTGTCTTCCATGTGCCCAATGCTCACAGAGCAAGCCCATCAACACTGTCTGCGGGTCTCCCTGGGGAAGCTCAAGGGCCACTTGACTGGGTCGGAGCTGGACACAGAAGTTGGGTGTGGTTGCACAGTGCTGTGCTGTGATCCCAGTACTCCGGGAGGCTGAGGCAGGAGGATGGGAAGTGTAACTTAATGGACAACTTAATGACTAGCGAGTCCAAGGTCCAGTCTCAGAAGAAAAAAAAAAAGCCATTGGATTCATAGTCACCCCAGGGCTTGGTAGTGGTGGGACTCAGGGATGCCAGAGAGCCTGGTCCTGAGTCACTTGGCTCCAGGTCCCTCACCCTGAACCACCCCTTCCTGATTCCTTGTACTTTTTTTTTTTTTTTGGTACCGGGATTGCTTGCAAGGCAGGCGCGTACACCACTGAGCTAAATCCCCAGCCCTAATCTCCGATTCCTGATGGCCTCTCTGCCTCCTTCCTGTTTCCTGAATTGCCCTTGGAGGTGCATGGAAAACTCCTCAGCCTCCCACCTGATGTCCTTGCTCATGTCTGTCCTCCATGCCCAGGACACAGCCTGGGGACCCTTGAGAGACATTTGTGACCCTTTCACCCTGGCCCCACCCCTGCCAGCCCAATGTCTGGTCCAGTTGAATTCCTGTCTTCCAAAGAGAGCTTTGCTCACTCCTATCCACTAAACTTGATGAGGACCCCATCATGCTGGTCTGCTTTACTTGGTGCCCACTGTACCCTTTGGAGTACCCTCTGCATTGCCCTCTGGAGGGGAGCTTGGCACACAGCACCTCTTCACTGTCCAGCTCCCCCGGTGCCCCACAGCCATCCCAACCTGAGCTCTTTTTCCCTTTGAAGTCTCATGAATCTCCGTGCTGGGCCTGGCTGGCCTGCACCTGGGCTGGCTTTATCGGACTCTGTGTCTCTGCAGTGTGAACATACTTGCTCACTGGGCGGATGATCCCCTGGGGCCTGGGCCCTGCTTGCCAACCCCACCCAGTTCTGGCCAAGCAGGTTCAGGGTTCTATCTCTTCTGCCCTGGCCACAAAGAGCATCACCCCAAAACCCATCTCCTCTGGATGAGCCGGGGATGTAGGTGAGCAAAATAGGGGTCAAACAAGTGCTGGACCCAGGCGCCTCCATCTCCCAGATCTTCATCCCCCAAATCTCCTCTGGCCAATTCCAGGAAAGTTGCTGGTGAGGTCAGATATATAGATGATGACAGTAAAAAGCAAAATGATAATAGCAGGTAATGCTGTGTGATAGGTGATAACGACCGAAAGTGATAAGGTCATCAAGGTGGAATTTCTCTTTGACACTTCCAGGATTCCACCTCAGATTGTCCCCCAAGGGTCCCGCCTGCTCCTCCTACCGTGCTGGGCTGTGAGGACCCTGGTCCCGCAGTTGGCCGAGCCAGGCTGCCACCCCTCCTTATCTGTCTCTAAGAACATCAGATGCCCCAAGTCTGTGACTCAGTGTCTGTCTCCTGGCTGAGCTCAACTTGGGCATGGGGACAGAGGGAGAGGGCAGTTTCTTCTCAGACAGGTGGTGACTCAGGGGCCTGGGGCTGGGGCCTTTGTACCTTTCTTTGTTGGCCATGGCTCAGGAATCCAGAGAAACTGGTCAGGGGGAGGCCCCAGGGATCAAGTCCCTCCTCTCCCAGCCCCTCCTCCTGAGCTGTATAACTGCACCTGTGTCCTGATTGCTCAGTGGCAGCTGGTGGCAGTGGCGGCAGCAGCGGCGGCTGGAACTGGTCGGGTTACACCTGCTGAGGGCGGCAGGCGGCTGGCTTTGTCTGTCTGGCCTTTTGGGGAAAGGCTTTCCCTTCCCCAGGTGGAGCTCAAACTTCGCACAAGGAACCCAACAGCCCTCAGAGCAGGATCCCTACAGACCCCGAGGATCCCTACTGATCCCGCTGAGCCATGGCTTCCATGGGGCTGCAGGTGCTGGGCATCGCGCTGGCCGTGCTGGGCTGGCTGGGCGTCATCCTGAGCTGTGCGCTGCCCATGTGGCGCGTGTCGGCCTTCATCGGCAGCAACATCGTCACTGCGCAGACCAGCTGGGAGGGCCTGTGGATGAGCTGCGTGGTGCAGAGCACCGGCCAGATGCAGTGCAAGGTGTACGACTCCCTGCTGGCGCTGCCGCAGGATCTGCAGGCGGCCCGGGCGCTCATGGTCATCAGCATCATCGTGGCGGCGGTGGGGATGCTGCTGTCTGTGGTCGGGGGCAAGTGCACCAACTGCTTGGAGGACGAGACCATCAAAGCCAAGACCATGATCGGGGCAGGCGTGGTGTTCTTGCTGGCTGGCCTCCTGGTGATGGTGCCCGTGTCCTGGACGGCCAACAACGTCATCCGGGACTTCTACAACCCGCTGGTGGCTTCCGGACAGAAGCGGGAGATGGGAGCCTCGCTCTACATCGGCTGGGCCGCCTCGGGGCTGCTGCTGCTCGGCGGGGCCCTCCTGTGCTGCAGCTGCCCGCCCCGCAGCGAGAAGCCCTACTCGGCCAAGTACTCTGCAGCCCGATCTGCTGCAAACAGCAACTACGTGTAGAGCCGCGCCTCACGCTGTCCCTTCCGGCTTTGTTTTTCCTCGGCCTGAACCCCACCTCTCGGCCTGGGACCCCAGGATGGCCCTGCCACAGACTTCTGGCTGCTGGCACATGGGCCAGCAGGGACAGAGCAGCCCTTGGCCCTTTCTGGCCCCTGGCTGCCTCGCCACGGCCTCTCCTTTCCCTGGCCAGGATGGACAGACAGAGATCCGCCATACACCTGCTCTGCATGGCCGGTGGAATCAGCAAAGCGTGCTGGTGCTGTGGGGAGCTGGCTCCTGCTGGCCAGGACAGCCCAGCCCTGACCTCAGGCTCTCCGTGGGCCCCCCACCCACACCGGTCCTTCTCTGCCCTCATCCCTCTGTAGCTCAAGTTCTTTTCTGGATGCTTCTCCCATGTTCCTGGGTGCTCCATGTCTTGGTGTGACGGACGGTGGCTGGCAGGTGACCAGGTGGATCTGTGATCACGACGTGGAAATCTCCCACGGTGGAAACCTGTACCACCCACGAGAACGGTGGGCCATCCACCTGCCCTTGGAATGGCGCTTGGACTGGCTGGACGGGTTTGTGGGAGGGGTGAAGGTGGAAGAAACAGGTTTGGGTAGTACCTGGGGAGGGCCCGACATTGGCCAGCCTGGGGGAGGGTCTCAGGGCCTCCTGCCTTCCTCTGGTTTCTGTTTTTGTAATTTAAGACGTCCTATTCATCACTGTTATTTTATTATTTTCTACAATAAATGAAGCTGTGCACAGAGGACTGCGTATTGTCTCTCAATCCAGCCCTGGAGGTGGGTGGCGTGGGGCTGGGGCACGGCTGCTGTTACCAGGACTTCCCTTCAAGCTTGGTTTCAGGGAACTGAAAATCGACCTCTGAAAAGACCCTGTCCAAGCCCTTTGGTTGTTGGAGGGAGGGAAGACCTAGAGCACCAGACCCAGGATCCTCGGAGGTTGGGGACTCCAGGAAGGACAGATAGGGACTCTCAAGCCCCCTCTCCCCCGCCCTCGCTCTGCCCCAGCTGTGAGGTGTCCTGCCCTCAGCCTGGAATGTCCCTTTTCTTTCTCCACCCTCTGAATCTTGCTGGTCCTGAAGGCCCGGCTCTGGGCCACTCCCTCATGAAGCCTTACAATGGCCCCGATGGAGGAGTCCTCATGGTGCTGACCGGCACCCCAGCCTCCACTGACCCAGCTCTGCAGCTGGGAACTCCCTCTGCCAGAGTGCTGGGAGGGCCTGCTCTGTGTGGCCCAGCCTCAGAGTCCCCATGGTGAGTCAGAGGTGAGGGGTCAGCTCCTGGCAGAAGTCACGGTGCCAACCCTCTGGTCCTGCACTTCTACCCTGTCTCCTCTCTTTTTGAACCCACAGGTCACTGTGGAATCAACACATTTTTCTTTTGTAACACAGTTGACCCATTTCCTTTCTCTAATTTTTATTTTTAAGATAAGGCCTTAGCCAGTCACTGATTTTTTTTTTTTTTGGTTCTGGATATTGAACTCAGGACCTGGCGCTTGCCAGGCAGACACTGTGCTGAGCTATATCCCTGGCCTCTAAATTTTTAATTATTTGTTTGTCTTTTGTGATACTGGGGATTGAACTAGGGACACTAAGCTACATCCCCAATCCTTTAAAATTTTTTTTAAATTCACCACTAAAGTTGCCCAGACTGGGCTTGATCGTATGATCCTCCTGCCTCGGCTTCCCAGAGTTCTGGGATGACAGGCATGTGCCCCCATCCCATAACCTACTATTTTATTTTTTGCAGTGCTAGGGGTCGAACCCAGGGCCTCCAGCTTGCCTCTACCACAGAGCTTTATCCCAAGCCCTCTGGCTGAAATGTAAAAATCAAAGCTCTTGTTCTTTCTTTTGAAACTCAGGAAAACAGAATCCATCCTGCTTGCATTACTACAGCTGACACTTCTGGTGTGAGGATTCCCAAGGGTGGGTGATCGGCCCTTAATGTCAGACAGTCTAGAGCACACAAAGGTGGATGAGACCACTGAACATTTTCCTTTCTCCCTCTGCTTGCCTTGTCCATGCAGCAGACCACCCATTCCACCTCCCTCCCTCCCTTCCTGTTATTGGGGATTCACACTGAGCTATACTCCCGCCCTCCCTTTTTTTTGTACGGGGGATCAAATTCATGACTGTGTGCTGGCAAGGCAGTTGCTTATGCCACTGAGCTAAATCTCCAGACCCCCTTTTTAAATTTTATTTAAGACAGTGTCTCACTCAGTTGCCTAGGTTGGGTTTGAACTTGTGATCCTCCTGCCTCAGCCTCCCAGATAACTGGGATTGCAGCGTGTACCACCCCACCTGTCTAGAGATCCCCTAGTTTCTTCCTCCCACAAGTATCTGTAAACCTGGTGCTTGGGGAGGTGGGCTGGAGATTAGTAGCTCTGCCTGTAAACAACTGTTGCAAAACTCAGGCATTGGGTTCAGGCATCTTGGGTGGAGGACTGGGCCGGTTTGGTAATGCAGGGGCCTATGACCCTCTTTCCTGGAGCCAGAGAACTGCAGACTCAGGAGTATTCTTGTCCTTGCTGTAGTTCCTTTAATAGGTAGAGCATTCCAGAGGGACAGGGGCAGGGCATCAAAGGTCTCAGGCTAGTCGGGGGCTGGAGACTGGACCTCACCCCCTCTTCTGGTACAGGTAGATGATGCCCTAGATGAAGCCATTCTCGGCACAGGTGCCAGGCACCGCCTCGAGAGTGGAGGTGGCCAGTTCCCAGCAGTCCACAGGCTGGGCCACCAGGCACTCCCATTTCCCATCCCCCTCCACCCTGTCCAGGGTGGCCTCCAAGGTCTCCTTGCATGGAAGGTTGTGATGGGTTGGTTCTGGTGGTCAGACACACTAGGCCACCTGCATGGGTGGACAGGAGGCAGTGACCTGGGGGAGTGCCAGGGCCACAGTCTCAGGCCCGTCCCTTCCTGCCATGGTTTCAAGGTTGTGGACACTTCCAGCTTTGTTCCAGGTTAATTTCTTTCACCTCCCCCTCAGCCAGGAACACTGCTTTCCTCATCTGAATGATTTCCTATGCACCCTTCAAAGCCCAAATGTCCTTGACCCCAGCAATTCTTGACCCAGTGTTGGCTGGTGGCCTCCCTGTTACTGCTCACCATGCTCCTCCACTGGAGGACATAGCTGGGTCAGGAGACACAGGAAAGAAGCACCCTGGCATTGGATCCTGTAAGTCCCTGTGTTTCTCTGAGCCTCAGTTTCCCAGCAAGGCAGAGAGTGGAGGATTATTCTGTCCCTCAGGAAGACCGGAGTTTTGCATGTATATGTGCAACACGCTCACAGTCACTAAGTACTGCCTGAAGGGAGGAAGGATTGCCTCCCTTGTCCAGGCACCAACAGTGTGCCCAGTGTGGCCTTCGGTGCCCATGTTGGAGAGAAGCTGGCAAATGCATGGCTGTGTCTGGTCAGGGTTCCTGGGCTTGGGCCAGGAGCAAAGCATTGTTTGGGGGGAAATGAATCCTTGCAGTAGGGGTTCTTGTCCCTCATGGTGGGTGGACGGGGCCCTGGCCATCCTGGCTGGGCCGGCAGGGCTGGCCCTTGAAAGTTCACACGATGGGAATCCCATCTTCCTAACCCAGGCTCGTGTCTCCCGGGTGACCCCACCGAGGCTGGAACTGCCAACAGCGCAGGCCTGCCCGGGCCTGTCCAGGCTCCAGCCCAGCCCCTGCCAGGCCTGCGGCAAGACTCAGGAATGTGGGGGACAGGAAGTGTTTTCACCTGCTGACCTCCTGACCCTGTCCTTCCGCAGGCCAGAGCCTCCTGGTCCTTGTGACTTGGCTGCTCTCGTGCAGAGGTCCCCTTGGGGCTCTCCAAGGCCTCTGCTCCCAATTCTCCAGCATGGAGTCCTCAAGGACTCACAGACTCACCCCTGGCCTGGCCCTGTGCTTGCTGGGTCTTTCCAGGCCTCGGTGGTTGGCACTGGGGGTTCAGAGGGCAGAGTCCATGCCTGCTGCCCAGAGCAGAGTACAGCAGAGCGGCACATAGCAGGACCACCATGAGCACAGCATCTGCTCAGTGTGCAGAGCTGCGGGAAGTGACCACCTCACCTCACTGGACAGCCCTGGTCCTCAGATGGGGAACTAGGACCAGGAAAGAGACTTAGCTAACCCCAAGCGATGCATTACAGGACAGAGGGGCAGGACTGAGCCTCTACTGTGTGCCAACTGCGCGCCAGGAGAGAAGCAAAGGCCTTTGGGGCCTGATTCCCCACCCCTGCCTCCCAAGCTCTGCCATCCTGTGGGGGTCAGGATCACAGGAATGGAGAGGGGCCTCCCCATCTGCTGATGGGTGTGGGGGACAAGAGACCAAAAGGAGGGGGCAGTTACTTTCAGCTGCCTATGGCCAAGGTGAGCTGGGCACCTGTCTGCCCTATCTGTGCCAGTGCGTCTGTGGTGGCAGATGGTGGCTGGGATGCTGGGCTAGGAGGGTCCACCCTGAGCAGGACTTTGGGCCTCGCTTGGCCTGGTTATGGGGTGTGGAGGGAAAAGTGTCCATGGAGGGCCAGGATGCACCTTACTTGGGTTGGTGACTCGGAGGAGCCCTGGAATGGCAGTGCACCGCACCTGGCCGTCACTGAGGGCACCCACCATCAGCACCGTGTCAGAGGTCCCTGTGGTGGGGAGAGATTGCGGTATGGTGCTTGGTCTGCAGCGTGGCCTCAGATCACTTTACAGGCTGTGCCCCATGGTGGGGCTCGCATCTGTGTCTCAGGGCCCAGATCCAGGGCAGGAGGCAGATGAGCTGGCATCAGACTCTGCTGTAGAGCTCAGTGACAGGCTCATGGAACACTCAGCAGGGTGGATAAGGATTCAGTGGCAAGAGAATGGGGCTCGATTCTTGGGAAGCTGGGCATGGAGCAGGCCTTGGGGTATCTAGCGTGGGAGAGGAAATACCTTCTGGGCTAGGCAGAGGCTCCTGGCCCAGGGTGCAGAGGCTGGGCTGCTGGTAGAAGCCAGGGCCTTGGCTTGTTCCAGCATCCTTGGGCTCCCATCCACTCCATGCAGGTTCAGGAAGCCCCGAGCCTGCAGCTGGGGTCAGGGCACTGGGTCACAGCTCAGGTCCTGCCCCTTCCCAGTAGGGTCCCTGGCAGCCTGGGAGGACAGTGGCCCTGCAATGCATGTGACTGGGACCAAGGAGTCTGAGAGGGGAGGCAGAGTCCTGGGCTCAGGAAATTTGAGCAATGGGCGTTTGAGGAGTTGGTGGGGGTACCTGGGGAGGCCTCACCTTAGCAGCCACCACGTGGGTATCACAGGCCACATCCAGGATCAGGGCAGTGGGGATAGGCGTAGAAGGGTTTGGGTGAGACAGTCCAGGATGAGGTTGGGCAGCCACATCCTGGGAACAGAGTGCTGAGCCTAACACCACCAGTGCCCGGAGTGTGAGTGTGGGTGCCGTGTGTGTGTGTGTGTGAGTGTGGGTGCCGTGTGTGTGTGTGTGTGTGTGTGTGTGTGTGTGTGTGTGTGTGCTAGAATCCCTCCGGGCCAAGGGGTGTGTGCTAGAGGTTTGGACCTGCCAGGGACACAGCGAGAGGAGACTTGGGTATGCAGGATCCCCAGTCTGCTGGGGCTCAGCCTCTCAGGGATCTCACCCGCCTGGTCTGCACTCAGCGTGCAGTGGCCGCTCCTCCAGGCAGACCTTGCATGTTCATTGCCATCTCAGGAGGTTGCAGGGCCACTGTGAGGAGCAGAGAGGGAGGGTCCTGTCCTCTCTGGGAGGGGCAGAACTGGGAGATTCTCACCCAGGTCTCACTTCCATCCTCACAGTGCCAGGGATGCCAGGCCAGCTCTTTCCACTTTACAGAAAGAGAAGTCAAGGCTGCGCACGCGGAAGCGAGGACCCAGGTGGGTTTACCTGGTCGTAATGGGAGCCCAGCGGTCCTAAACTGGAGCTTTTGGGTGATGCCGTGTGAAGCCCCGACCTGCTCCAGCACCTCAGGCAGCCTTCTACCCTCCTGAGCCATCCTTCTGTGGGGACACCAGCTCCCTGTCCCCAGACTCACGTCAGCCAGCACTTCCCCCACCGCCAGCCCAGTTCACGAGCACAGACAGGCGGCTTTAGACCTTTGTACCTGGGGGATGCAGGACTGGCTGGGCCGGGCAGGGGTGAGGTATGAGGAACTGGCTCTCACGTCGTGTTCCGATTGGGGTTGGGTAGCTTCGCAGCGGAAGGGGGTTAGGTCTTGCAGGGAAGAGAGGTCAGGACTCACCCCGGGTCTAATTAGCCAAAGGTCAGGGTCTGCGGAACTCGGGGTGGGACCTCACAGCGAGCCTGGCCACACCCCTGACGCCCTTGATAATGATTTGTTCCGTTAAGACAAAACACCCAATCAAAGTGATTGCACTGACACCACGCTCCTAACATTAGCCAATTAACTCAAGCTTCTTGTTCCTCCTCCAGCCCGGGAAGTATCAGCTTTGTGAGATTTATTTACCACCCCCTTCATGATGTAAATGTGGAACCCGGGCAGCTGTTGAGAGCTTGAAATGCAGCTAGTGCGGGTCTGAAGAATGGTTCCCCCTCCCCCTTATTGAACCTAGGGGCTTTGGACTGAACTACATTCCTAACTAAAATTTTTTTTCCAAAAAAGTTTGAGATACGGTCTCGTGATTTAACTAAATTGGCCTGATTGATCCTCCTCCTGCCTCAGGCTCCCAGTGTGCTGGAATTAAGGTGCGCTCTTAATTTTTGTTTTGCTTTTATAATTTAAAGAGTCACAAGTAGCGAGTGGCAAGCTGGCAGGTGGACTAGACTGAGATGGAAGTGCTGGTGCTCAGTTCCATCTAATCTTGCAGGATCCTCCTCAGCCTCACCTTGGGTTTCTCCAGGGGCAGTCATCCACCCCGCCCCCCCCCCCCAGCCCACCCCTGAGGATCTTCCAATCAGGTTGCTGGGGGTGGGGGCCCAGACTCTGTGAGCATCAGCCCACCTCTCAGGAGCTTTCTCCTTAGCCACCGTGTGAGAAGCAGTGCTGGCCCATGTAATCTGAGTAAGGCTCACCTTATTTTGGGAGGCTTGGCACAGTGTGGGGGCTGTCACAGTGGTGCCAGCTTTCTGCAGAGCCTTAGGGTGGAGGTGTTATTAACTGGAAAGGATAACTCGGGTGACACGTGGAGCAGCGGCCTTCCAGGCTGTCCTGGGCCAACTGTGACATGAACAGAATAGGAAATAAACTTTCACCGTATTAAGCTGCTGAGCTTTTGGGGTTCTTTAAATACAATAGCTGTCATCTTTCAGTTTGATTAACACAAGAAGCCCAGGAGAAGGAACAGGGTTGGGGTAATGAGGATATGACTGACTTAGAGATGTTGAATTTGAGGTGTCTGCAGTGCTCAGGTGAAGAAGTCCAGGATATATTCCCCCTCTCTGTCTCTTTTCCCATTACTGGGGATTGAACCCCTAGCCTTCCCACTGAGCTACATTCCCAACCCTTTTTTATTTTGAGACAAGATGTCCCTAAGTTGCTAAGTTACCCAGGCTGGTCTCAAATGAGTGACCCTCCTGCCTCAGTCTTGCAGAGTGCTAGCACTACAGAGGTGCCTCACCACACCCTGCCCCTAGACTCTCTCTCTCTCTCTTTGGTACTGGGGACTGAACTCACGACCTTGCGCTTGCCAGGCAGGCACTTATGCTGCTGAGCTAAATCCCCGGCTCCTAGACTCTCTTTAATGTCAGCCGGAAACTCAAGCCCAGGAGGGAGCCATGCCTTTGGGGACAGGTTGAGAATCCTGAGCATAACCACGGTGATGGAGGCCCCAGGCAAAGGTGAAATCCCACACAGAGTTAGGAGGGGACGCCTGAGCCTCCATCCTATGAGAGCAGGTGGAGGATGAGAGGCTGGGGCACAGCAGGGAACCAGAGAGAGAGACAGGGTGCCCAGAACAGGGGTTCAAAAAGACAGGAGTGGCCAGCATTGCCCAGTGTTACAGAGGAGGGAGAAAAATGAGACTGAGAACTCAGTGCTGCCCCAGGGCCTCGGAGGTCTTCCTGGCAGGAGGGTGTGGCTATGTGTCGACTCCTGACTGATGTAGGTGGAGGGACATGGAGTCCTCCACTTTGGGACCTGAGACACAAACCACTCCAGTCTATGCTGGAGAGGACGGCAGGCTGCGCGGGCAGGTGCCCCGGGTCCTCCCCATGGCCCCAGGAGCATGGCGAGAAGGAAGGAAACGCTCCTGTGTTCAGCACAGGGATGGCAAGATTTCTCTAACACAGTGGTTGCAACATTTGGTTTGATTAATGCCTTGGTCCTTCCTTCCTTCCTTCCTTCCTTCCTTCCTTCCTTCCCTTGCCCTTCCTTTTTCCTTCCTGGGAATCATCCTGGAACCAGGACCTTGCCATGCTTCAGCTGAGCCACGTGCCCAGAGCACCAAAGTAATCTGGACCAGGGCCATTTGCTGCAGTTTTGGGATGGTGCGGGAAACCCCGATTTCCAGTGTGGCTAGCCAAGATGTCTGCCTCGGCTCCTAGGCGGAAGGGGAGTGCACTATGAATCTTTGTGCAAATAACTGGACACCAGCCCAGCAGGGCCATAGCTGAGAGCCACTCTTCCCGACCCAACTGGAGAGAGGATAGACAAGAAGATGGGTCGGCTTACTACAGTCCTTGACAAAGGCCATGTGGGGAGCTCCAGTCTGGGCCTTCCGTATCACCCTGGTGACCACGGGTCACATGGCCACACCCAGCCAGTGGCTGGGGTGGGCTCAGATGTCCTGGTCTCTGCTGCCCTTTGGACCAATGGCTACTTATTGGGCAGGCACCCACTGGTGGCCCCAGTGCAGGTCCTCCAGGGACGGCTCCTGTGCTCAGTGGGGGACTCAACTTGCCATGGGGGACCCTGGAGGGAGCTGGAGTTTCTGGTGCTGCTGTGCTCCTCCAGATGTGGACCCCACCGGCTTCTCCCCGCAAAGGGTCCAGGCCTTGTCCCCATGCTGGGCCTGCGGCTGGGCCTGCTCTGGGGCTCAAGCCTTCTGCTGTTTTCTTTTCCCTCTTTATTCCCCTCCAGCCCAAAGCTTTGGAACCCTAAAGCCTTTTGTGCTTTTTATGGGAGGTCCCTGGGGCCAGCTGGCCAGCCTAAGCAAGGGCAGGAGCTGAGGAAAGGAAAGTACGTAGTTTTTGGAGTGGTACTAAGCCCACCTGTTCATGTAGCCACTATTACCTGATCTCGCAGGTGTCGCCATGCTGTGGCCGAGGGTGTGGGTTGAGCTGACAGCATCACCAAGCTGTGATCAGCAGCACAGGCAAGACATACAGCTGCCACAGGGCGTGGGTTGGGGGGAAGGCAGGATTCGAGGGCCGGGAAAGTAGGACAGGGTGAGTGCATGTGTGGGGAGTGGGGGCCTGTGGGGACCCATGGGCCGGAGTAATAGGGACAACAGGTGTGGGGGAGGCAGAGTCCCCAAGGCCCAGGGCTCTGCTCTCTCCCGTGCCCTGCTGAGCCCTGCTCCTGCTCACAGGAGGTGATCCAGCTCATTATCTTTGGCCTGATGTATGAAGTCCCAAGCCTGGCCAGATGAGACAGGGTCTCACTATGTGGTCAAGGCTGGCCTCAAACTCGTGGTGACTCTCCTGCCTCAGCCTCCTAAGGGCTGGGATTACAGCTGAGAACCACCTCGCCCTGCCCAATCTGTAGTTTTTATAATGAAGCTAACGCTGAACTGCACTGGAACCCACATTCTTGGCACAGTGTCACCTGGGTGCACACTCCACACAGCTTTACAGTAGGCAGCGGTTCCCGCCCTTCCGGTGCATTCTCTTTCCCACTTGGCTTCTGCCTTGGGCAGCTGCTCCCTGTGCACGCTCTGCGCATGTCAGTGGCCGCTCTGCCGCATCCAGGCACCTCACTGATAGCTCAGCCTGGGCGTCTTCCTCTGACCTTTGGACGCTGTTCACAGCCAGGGTGGGGTCTTTCTTCCCCCTTGTGTGTCACCTTTGGGAGGAACATAATCCTCCATCTCCATGTCACGGTGAGCTTGGCTGCTTTTTGCCGAATCTTCAGACCCTGCGTGTACTAGCACTTGGTCTTCCAGTTCTCCAGACACTGCTCCAAAGTGGGTCAGTTCCTGAGGTGTGGCCAGGGGGCTCTCAGAGGGGCTGGCGCCAGGCGGGATGGGAACTGTCCCACCAGTGTGATGCCGTGGAGTGACAGAAACCCAGACAGCACCTTGCGGAGTGAGGGCGAGGATTTCCTTGGCGAATTCAGCCTCACATGAGCATTTCCTGGACACCCTTGTTCAATAGATTTCCTTCCTTCCGTCTTTCCTTCCTTCCTCCCCCCCACCTTTTTTTAACTTTTTATCTGTACCGCCCGCTTGCAAGGCTGGTGCTTATGCCGCTGAGCTAAATCTCCACCCCGTCTCCCTTTCGTTTTTTGCAACACTAGACATAGATCCCAGAGCCTTCACACTGAGCCACACCCCCAGCCTTCTTTATTTTGAGACAGGGTCTCATTAAGTCACTAAGTTACCCAGACTGAGCTTGAACTGGTGACCATCCTGCCTCAGCCTCTAGAGTGCTGGGATTCCAGGGCGTGCCGCCTCCCCTGGCTCACTGATTTCCGCACCGGAGGGTCTCGCTGCCGGGGTCTGGGCTGTGTGGAGCTCTCCCTGTCCCGAAGACCCCTGGGGCAGCTTCCGTGTTTGCAGACCAGGCCGGCAGTGTCTGAGCAGGGTTCGATCCACATTCCACCCCTCTTACTAATCCTATGCGGTTGGCTGAGGTCTCCTAAGCTTGTGGGCTCCCTAGTTTGCTTCTCTGTGCTCCACTAGGTCCTTTGATTTTCCTCCTTTTCTGTTTTCATTGTCAGGAAGAGCCAGTGTACACCTAGGTGAGATCATTTAAAATCTACTCTCGGCAATTTTCTTTCTTTCTCTTTCTGTTTTTGGTTTTTTGGGGGCAGGATCTGACTGTAATTCAGGCTTTTTTCTTTGGTATCAGGGTTTGAACTCAGGATTTTGCTCTTTTTTTTTTTTTTTTTTTGTCTTTTTCGGTACCAGGGATCGAACTCACGACTGCCTGCTTGCAAGGCAGGTGCTTATGCCGCTGAGCTAAATCCCCAGCCCCCAGGATTTTGCTCTTGCCAAACAGTCACCTGTCTCCCCCACCTCCGGCTGTTCCTGAATTCCCTATGTAGCCTACTTTGGCATCAAACTCATAATAATCCTCTCAACTCAGCCTCCTGATTGCTGGGACTACAGGCACGTGTCACCATGCCTGGCCATCAAAGCCACCTTAGCAAAGAAAGAAAAGAAAAACAAATATGTTTTTTTCCTTAAGTATAAAGCCACATTGATCATTTTTGTGTACTTGTCGGGGAAACTTGGTGAAGATTGGAAGTAAAATGTTCTGGGAAGGAGAAGGAAGGGAAAATAAAAAGGGTCAAGATGTGATAACGTACACGTAACAGTTCGCCCCTTAAATGTGTTGATTCTATATCACAAACACTAATAAAAAGAAAAAAATTAAAGAGGATAACAAAAACAAAAAGACACAAATAAAATGAAGTTTTAACACCGAACCCTGAACTAAAGGGCTGTTACCATTTCACTCTCTCTCTCTCTTTTTTTTTTTTTACTGCGCTTGTCATCTGAGGGTTACCATTTCTCAGTGGCTCCCTCGCAGGCGCAAGGCACAAAACGCGAAAACTTTACAGCACCTCTCCTCGGTGTCTGCTGCCCCCGAGTGGCCACACTTCGGTACTGTACCTGCAGGGCCCTGTGGCGGGCAGGACCTGGGAGGAGACTTGGGCTTCTGGGTATGGGCGCTGATGTCCACCTAGGGAGGCGCCTGAGGACCTGAGCCCCTGGTTTTGTGCAAAGCGGTGATAACTGAGTTATCCCAGTCTGTCCTCTCTGTCACCCTGCAAGGTGAAATTCCAAGGTCGCAGCGATGCCCTTAACTTAGTGCTATGGGGACAGAGAAAAGGGTGTGAGAGAGGCCTGGACTGGGGCGCGGGGGTGCTCCCAGGAGAGGGATCTCAAATCGGGTTGGTGGGGCCAATGTCACCCCATGTAGGTCTTCTGCTCTGAGCGGGAACCAGGAGCAGCTGAGGCTCATGGCCCCTGATCTCAGAGAAGGCTGGGCCGGAAGGTCAGGCAGAAGGGGAGGGGACACAGTGACGCTGAGATTTCGGCTGGTGGGACCGGGGCCTGGGTCTGCAGCTCCTGGGCTAGGTTGCTGGGTCCTGAGCCAGTTTTAGGGACTGGGCTTTGTGGGTCTCCTTGTGTTCCTCCTGTCTCCGCTTCCGATGGCCACCAGGGGGCAGCACTTCCATGCGCCCCGCCCTAGATCTCCAGAGGAGCCTGTCTGCTTTGCACCACCTGCCCAACTCTGCCTCCGCTGGGTCGCACGCTCCGTAAGTCTGTATTTCTGCACATCGTGCAGATGACACACGATGCATGGCGTTTGTCCTGGGCTTTCCGGGCTATCTGCGAAACCACTTTGGAAGGCAGAGAGTTTCCCCGGAGGCAAAAGGCAGCTGGCTTCCTGTCTTTCCTAAAGATTTGCAGCTGTGTGAGGCGGGGCATGTCTGTAATTGGAGTTCTCTGGGAGGCTGAGGCAGGACCGTTCCAAGTCTGAGCTCCACCTAAGAGGCAACTGCATTCTGAAGAGGGAGCCTTTCAAGTGTTATATTTGGTTTCCTCCTGCCTCAGCCTCCGTTCCTATACCCCTTGGGTGGGTGTTTTTGAGGTGTGCTCTTGTCTGTTTCCCAGGGGTCCCAGACTGAGCTCAGTTGCCCCAGACCAAACACTGCTCATGGATTCACTGCCAAATGTGCCTTTATTGCTTGCACCTCTGCGAACCAGGTCGCCTCCCCCAGATCCCCTCCTCTGTCAGTGCTAGTCCTGAACTCCTGCCCAGGGCCCTCTGAGGAGGAAGCCTGAACTACTCTGAGCCAGGCCAGACCTGCTCCCCACAGTGATTCAGCCAGGTCTTGCCTGGACCCAGGAGGAACCAGGGAGAGGGGACTTTTGTGGCAACTGGGTCCCACAGTAACCTGGCTCCGCCCTGTGGCATCTGTGAGGTCACCTGGCCCCAGCCGGCTGGGCTGCAGGAGGCCAGACATGGAGCCTGTGGCCCAGGGCAGAGCTGGCCTCCCCGAGGTCCTGTTGCAGGGCGCCAGGCTCTGGGCGCTGGTGAGTAAGCGAGATGCTGGGGCCAGGCGCGGAGCCAACCCCAAGCCACCTCCTAGCTGTTGGATCCCACTGACCCATCTGACCCCAAAACACAGTGCCAGTATTTCCCTCGTGGACAGTCATTTGGTGGTGTGAGCTTTGCCCTTCCCGGCTATCTTTTCAAAGACACGGACTTCTTGTTGGGAGCCTCCCCCAAATCACTCTGCCCTGCTGACCGAGCTACGGGACACAGCATTGGGATCTGTTTCTGTGGGACAGAAATGAGAGATTAGCTGGGAGTGGTGCTTCACGCCTGTGACTCCAGCACTGTGGGAGGCTGAGGCAGGAGGATCACAGGTTTGAGCCCAGACAGGGCAACTGAGAGAGACCCTTTCTCAACGAAAGTGGAGGTTGGGGCTCCGTGGGAAGGCTCTTGGCTGTGCAATTCTTTTTTTTTTTTTTTTTTTTTTTCTTCAAGTAAATGTGAGTATATGTTTTTGTTTTTTTAAGACAGGGTCTTGATGTAGTTGAGGCTGGCCTTCAACTCACTATGTAGCTCAGGCTGGCCTCAAACTCACAGTGATCCTCCTGCCTCAGCCTCCAGAGTTCTGGGATTACAGATAAGTGCCACCATGCCTAGCAGCTGTGCCATTCTTCAGCTGTGTGACTTTAGACAAATGACTTCACCTCTCTGAGTGTTTCCTGTCCTATAGAACTGACCTGGTAGGACCACATGGACTCTACCAGCGTTCTCATCCCAGGTCTCAGGTCTTGAGCTAGGCTTTGAGTTCCTACCTGTATCCCATTCCTGTCCTCCTCCCAGGACCCCTCAGTCTCTTTCCTTCCAGCAGGGCTCCTCTGTCTTAGCTCTGTGGCTGGGGCAATGTCTTTCAGAGCCCAGGGCAGAGGCCCTGGGTGACACCAGTGTCCCCTTCTCCACAGCTGGTCCAGAACCGTGTGTACCTGTACCGGCTGCTGCTGCTGAAGATCGCCCTCTTCCGGGACTGGGTGGTGGAGCTGTCCCGGGAGGCCCGGGGTCCCTGCTATGTGCCCACCCGCCAGGCCCCCGGGGAGGCTCCCTGTGCCCTGGGCCAGGCTCTGCGGGTGGGGCTGGCACTGCTGCTGTGGGGACCCCGGTTGGCTGGGGAGGCTGGGCTGCGCTGTGCTCGGGCCCCAATCTTGGCCCTGCAGTGCCTGGGCATCTGTGAGTGGCTGGGCCTGTGTGTGGCCGCCTGGAGGGGCGTGCTCTGGTCCTGTCTGCACAGCCTGATGCTGGTGGCCTTGCTGTCATTGCTGCTGGCCTGGAGGCTCTTCCAGAGAGCCCAGTGTTTCCTGGGCTGGCTGCCCCGCCAGGTGGGTGGGTGGAGTCACTGGGCTGCAGAGGGTGGGCCTGGGGCCCTGGGGCTTTTGGGGTCACCTGATTGTCCCTTTACCAGGCCCTACTGGGGAACCACCTGGTGCTCGGGTTCCTGGCGCTGCCGAGATGTCTGTGCTGGCACCTGGCCTACCTCATCACGTGGACCACCTGCCTGGCTTCCCACCTGCTGCAGGCGGCTTTTGAACACACGACCCAGCTGGTCCAGGCCCAGGGGTCCTCAGGATCCTTGTCTAGGTCTCTGCTCCCTGTGTCATCCTCCACCCTTGAGGGTCAAGCCCTCCTGCAGAAACCTGAGAATCCTGGACAATAAATGTTTGCCATCAACCTCTCCTGCAGTGGGTGGGTCTATGGCCTCCTAGTCCCACCTCCTGCTAGACTAGAGGGATGCTCTGTGTGTGCACATGTGCACACATGTACGTGTACCTATGCATACATCCCCAGGGCTGCTCTGAAGGAAGTTACATGGAGCAGCCACTCCAGACACTTGGGCCATCATTTTGTTTAAACCTAGCAATGCAGGTGTCTGGCTTGATCAGCAGCATTTTACAGACAAGGCAGAGCTTCAGGTTTGAACTTTCCCAGGGTCTCAGAGCAAGTGAAGGGCAGAGGCAGCCCCGGCCTCCAGGTTCAGTGTTTCCCAGAACCCCACATTTGTTGCAGGCCATGCAGGTTCTCCTCACTGGTGCTGCCCAAGGGTTTAGGGGAGATGGGCGATCAGGGACTCCAGCCTCTGGGGTTGCCAGGGCTTCACATTACACAGATGTAGAAAATGCTTTCAAGTGGTTACTTCTGAGCGAGTGCAGCTAGGCCGGCCACTCAGTCATCCCTACACAGCTACCCACCTGCTGACCCACCCACTTCCAAACCAGTCCGCAGAGCCATCCACCCATCCATTCCTCTACCCCTCCCCTTGAAGTTCCCTCCCCTCCCTGCTCTCAAAGCTCACTCCTCCCTGTGAGCCAGGACCGAATCCAGCTGGGGAGCACTGGCGGACCCTCGGCCTCAGGCCCCCAGTGATTTTACCAGTGATTCTGCTGGTTTTGCAAGAACTGGCTTCACCCCCACTCTCCTCCAGGCCCAAGGGCCGGGGCCAGTGCAGTGGGCAGTGGGTGAGCGGAGTGATGGTGCTGTGGTACTGTGTCAGGGCCGACATTGCTGGTCCGTGTCCCAGGTAGGCAAGCTGGCTTCCCGTCATAGGCAGACACCCCTGACTCCCTGGATGTGCCTCACCTGGGAGGATCTCAGCTCTGCCCTGTTTCCCTGTGTGAGCCCAGAGGGCCTCAATTTCCATGCATGTGTAGTGTGGGGTAGGTGGGGTGACCCCTGATGAGATTCAGCAAGTGGGGAGTTAGGCGTGCAGTCCGTGCTCTGAGTGTGGCAGAGCGCGGTAGTTTGGGCTGGCGCTTGCTGTGTGCAGGCGTACTAGCTGAGCTGAGAACGCTCCTGGGTCTCAACAAGCACCTGTCTCCTTTTACTATTGTCTTACTGAGGACTGAACCTAGGTCCTTCCCATTGAACTACAGCCCACATCTAATTTTTTAAAATTTTGAGCCAGGGTCTCACTAAGTCATTAAGTTACCTGGGTTGGGCTCCAATTGGAGATCTTCCTGCCTCAGCTTCCCAGAGTGCTGGAATGGCAGGTGTACCCCATTTAGGGTCTTGGCATTCTGGGACCAGGGCTTGGGAGGAAGGATAGAATCTGTCCACAGTTGTCTCTAAGGATGGGGCACAGAGCTGAGGTCATGGGGTCTAGAAGTTTCAGTCTTTGATCTTGTGCCCACAGCCTATTGGCTATGTGGCCTGGACAGGTCAAGGTCACAGTGCTTAACCCTGGGAGCCTCCATTCCCTGGCTGTGAACAGGGCACAGTCACAGCAGCTAGGACCACTCGGAGATGCTGCCAGGTGTACTGGGGCTGGCGTGGGGGGGCCCTCTGGGACCCTGATGACCTTGGTCCCGCTCCTGGGCTTCCCACCTTCTAGGAGCCGAGGCTGGACAGGGGGCTGGGGCGGTCAGCCTGTCGATGTCAGGCCTGAGAGCAAGAAACGGGCCTGGCCTGCTGGGGGTGGGGGGCTGGCAGGCCGGCCAGCAGCTCCACGCAATCTGTCTGCTATGCAGCCCAGCCTGGCTGTATTTATTTATGCTGAGCGTATATTTATATCAGCTCCTTTCTCATTAATAGGGCAGGAAATGGCTGGAATTGTTACATACCTGGCGGCCCAGGGGTCCCGCCCGGCCAAGACACACAGGCCTGGCTGCCCCGGTGTGGTGTCGAGGGCCCCCTCCTCGGTCCCTGACCCTTTACTGATCCCCAGCTCCCGACCCCGTCCGACCCAAGGGATGGCCAAGCCTTGGGAGCCACTCAGGGCAGCCTGAAGTGGGGGAGCCCTGGGCAGAGCAGTGGGAATTTAGGGCCTCTGAATTTAGGGCTGAGGCCCTGGCAGGTGCCTCGCTACAGAGGAGGAAGTCTGGGGATGTGTAGCCCCCTCTGAGGGTGGGGTGGTCCCTGGGGACCGAGTCTTATGTGGGACAATGGGGGCTGAGTGCCAGCCTCCCTCCCGCCTCCCCTGTCTCCTGCCCTGTTGCTAGCTCAGAGCCATGCCAGCCTCCCCCACCCTCCTCTCCCTCTTTCTAGGCCTGGCTCTTGGGCCTGGCCTCAGGTGGAGCTACTAGAGCAGATGAGTGTGGCGCCCTCCCCAGGGTGCTTGCCTGACGTCACCTGTGAGTGCTTCCTGCCTCAGCCTCCCCATTCAGCCTGGGTTGGGTAGAAGGAATATGAGATACCTCGTGGCCCTTTGGGGTCACCTGTCTTCTCAGCAGGGTTCAGGGGCTGCTGTTTCCTGGGGGTGTCTGTGGGCCTACGGCTCCTGTGGTCAGGTGGGTTTGTCCTCTGTTCTGTGATCTCTGCCATCGCTGTGACCTCTGGGCTCACAGAGTCCAGGCAGAGGAATGAGGCCTGGGACAGCGCAGGGACTCAGACTCTGCCCAAGGTCGATCTATGGCTGGGTTCCTGGGCACCTTCCGGGGACCCCCACCTGGCTGTGTGGATGGAGGCCGGGGGTTCAGTTTGAAAGTACAGCCTTGGGAACCCCCGGGGCAGAATCCTGCTTCTTCCTGTCCCTTGTGCCCACCACCTGCAGTCAGGGCAGAGCCACCAGGCCCGACATCCGGGTTCTCGATCCCGTGAGGGTGAGGAAGGGGGACTCCAAACCTCCGCTCTCCTCAGAACCTCTGCCTGTGAGTAGCTGTGTGTCCAGGGCTCTTTCTCTGCTCCAGAGTGAGGGTCTTTCCTGGCTCTGCTGGCTCCTGAGGCTGAGTTTTTGGGTCCTATTGTTTTATTCTTTTGCAGTACTGAAGATTGAGCCCTTCACTTTTTTCAGACAGTCTCTCTATGTAGTTCAGGCTGGCTTTGAGTTCACTGAGCTCTTCCTGCCTCTGCCTCTGGAGTGCTGGAATCATAGGCGGGCACCTCCGTGCCCAAGGCCTCCGTACTGAATTACTTCCCCAGTCTTTTTTTATTTTTCTTTTTTTGTCTTTTTCCTTTTTATCGGTACCAGGGATCGAACCCACGACCGCCTGCTTGCAAGGCAGGTGCTTATGCCGCTGAGCTAAATCCCCAGCCCCTAGTCTTTTTTTATTTTGAGACAGGGTTTTGCTAAGGCACTAAATTGCCAGTGCTGATTTGAAATTGTGATCCTTTTGCCTCAGGTTTTCGAGTGCTGGGATTACAGGTAGGCACCACCACACTGGGCTTGAGTCTCAGTTTTGGTGAATTTCAAAGCCTTCCTGGCCCAAGGGCCGGCAGGCTGTGAGTAGAGATGCTCCCAGGGCCTCTGGTCTGAGTAGAGGGGAGCCCCCTGGGCCTCAGCTCTGCAGCTGGGCTCTGCAGCCATCCCACTACTATGCACACATCTGGAGCGTGTTCCACCCTTAGCCCAGGTCCACATCTGGACACCAAAGCCGGCTTGCCGGCGAAGCAGAGCATCTGGACCCGAAGAGCCGTGGCAGGGTTAACTCGGCCCATCTGGGCCCCTGGCTGTGCTCCGCCCGTCTCAGAGATGCTGGCTGCACATCTGGAGGCCTGGAGCCTGGCCGGCCACTGGCAGCTGCTGTGCCTGGGGTCCTAGCCTGAGGCAGGGGTCCTGCGTGCAGAGCCTCACCCTGCTGTCAGGATACTGTGGCTCTCAGCCCCCGTACTGGGATGGCCTTAGAAACAGCTTTGCTTTGACCTGTGCTGGACACATGTTCCCTTGCCCTAAGTGCTGACAGCTGTCACTCCACACCAGCCCACCAGAGAGCATCCCATTGGCCTCACTTGAAAGAACCTTGGGGACCCCCTGGATTGTCAGTCTGCACCCCATCCCTGGAGCCTTGGGGTCAGGGAGCCCACCTCCTGTCCCTGCCTGGTGTGTCCCTCTCCATTCCTCCTTCCCAGTCCACACCTGCTTGGCAGGATGGGGCTGGATGTCACTCGGAGGCTGCAAGCTGGGTGAAAAGAGAGAATAGGTGGACATGGGGAGAGGCCAGCCCAGGGCAGAGGCTCACCAAGGAAGTGCACAGGGGATGCCCTTACTTGCTCCTCAGTGGTGGGCTGAGAGCCCTTACGACCTCACTGGGCTGACCAGGAGGGGAAGCCCAAGGGAGTCTGAGGTCACTGATGCTCGGAGGTAGTAAGCTCCCTGTCATGGGGAGATCCGAGCTGGCACTGCTGCTCTGTGTCAGGAATGCGGCACAGATCCTTCCCACAGGGGCCCACGGCTGCTGGACGACCCCTGGTGCTACTCTGAAGCCCTGTGATTCCCAAGATTCTAGGGTTCTGTGCTATAACCGCCTCAGTTTGAAGCTCGAGCCTCTGAAGAAAGAAGGCTGAAGCAGGGTGGCCGGTGGCCAGATGCTTGGCATGAGGAGTGGCTGGGCACGAGGGCTGCAGAGGGCCACAGGAAAGGAGCAGCCCACAGCCCCAGGACCTGGGGCCTTTGCCGCGTGGCCTCTGCCTGGGGGCTGCATGAGGCCTGGGCTGTGCTCTCGGAGCCTGGTTTGTCCGCACCTCTTAGTGGAGCCCTTATCAGAGCATCGCTGGCCGGGTGGAACGGAATCCTATGCACTGAACGTCCAGCCCAGGGCCCTGGAGCGCAGGATGGAGAAACCGCAGCGCTTCGTGCCTCGTTCTCTGCCTCCCTGCTGCGGAAAATGTGAGTCAACACCATGTAGGCTGGAGACACAAATAACAAATGAGGGGAACATTGATGGAGGCCTCTTCGGGCCAGATGCCCCTCTGGGGGCTCCACTGGGTCAACTCATTTCAGCTGCTGCATGCAAACAGTT